GTTTAAAGGGGAGCGATGGTAAAAGGAAAACAGCTGTTGCACTGTGTTATATAAAACCTGGGCTGGTTTGAGGATCCAGGACTGATCAGACCGGAGCCTCAGCAGCTGCAGAGAGCTCCGATGCTAAAAGCAGCTGATGGCTCCTCCCCGACACACACACCATTCATTTTTTATTAACTGCGGCACCGGGCGCACTCAGCCGGGCAGGACTTAAAAGCAGACGTCATTACATCATTATTGGCCATGAACTTGATCCACGCACAGAGGCACTTCAACTATAATTCAGGTTCATTGTAATCAAAAACTCAACATGGGCAGTGGCAGCCTAAGAACGGATGTCACGAGATAAAATTTATAATCTACTTGAGGGGAATAACACAATATGACTCCAATGCAATGATTATTCACAATTAGGGCTAAACACGGTTTTTTCATATTTGATTTTTTATTATTTTACTGTTTTACTATGGATTTGTTTTATTTAGTATTTTATTGTGCAGCACTTTGTAAACTGTGTATATGAAATGTGCTATATAAATAAAGTGGATTGGCTTGGATTGGATTGAAACAATTTTGGTAAAAAAGCAATGATAGTGATAGTGGAGTCAATGACAGCGTTAAAGGGACTTGGGAAGAAGTTTCTACCAATTAAAAATTTTAATTGCAGTGCTTATGGGAACTAGCCCACAACAATCTGATCTATAGACATGAAAAAACATGTGAAAACAAGTGATTGCATAAAACTGTTTTGAGACCCCAGCTTTAAATATGGCATTTCAGGTTAGCTATAAATAAGGCTCCAAATTTAACAACAGATTCAACATTTGGTCCATGGTGACTCTTAACCTTGAGGAGATTTATACTGGTACTGGTGCAGGGTCTGGTTCAGAGCATAGACCATCTCTAATGAGTAGATGTATAAGGAGTGGACTGACCTAGTGCTGATGTCACCAGTGTTTGCTGAATGCGGAAGAAGCCAATTTTGGCATAAGCTAGCTAGAGCCAATTTCCTTATATGAGCATTTGTTCCAACAGGGTTAGCTTCATGCAGTAGCCGGGGAAAACGTGTTTCTAGGATGAAAACCCAGTGAACGAGGGCATCTGATCCATCAATCGCCTAGAGTTCGGCCTAGGGCTGCGTCACTTTTCGGCCACAGGTTCCATCATTTTCTGAGTAGAAAACAAAAGCACTGATTCTGAAATGGAAGCTGGTCAGGAACTGGCAACAGCTTGGTGGAAAAGAGGCTTTAAGAGTCATGGAGTGAATATGAACGTGTAACTAGAGACATATGGCAAATTCATTTTTCCATAACTGTACCATTAAAGAGACTATATGGTTTTCTGCTGACGGAATGGAAACCATATAGAAATTCAGTGAAGCCAAGAGAGTTTCACAGCGATGATGTCAAAGGCTCCACTTCCTGCACTAAAGGACGTGCCAAACAACTCACAACACTCCACACATACAGTGAGTATATACAGGCACAGAGCTGGCAAATATCATGGGAAGCTTAGAAGTCTCAAATAGAAAGAAGGAATCTCAAAAGTGCAATACCTTTTATCCATTTCAATAGACAATTTGTACATTTTGTTCATCTAGATCAGAGGTGTCCCACTCATTTTGGTCGGGATGAAAGTAAAAAAGTGGTTTTTTATCTTACCTTTAATCGAGGACTGATGTTATATGTACAAAAATAAACCATTGGCCTATCTAACTTCTAACTACATGTTGCCTTCCTGAGAGAATCAGCTTTAAATTATATTAGTATAACATGCCACATTAATGATAGATATAATCAAGTCATCTAGTTGTTATTTATTAGGTCATCAGGCTTACTCATGAGTTGTATAAAAATATAAAATATTTACTGAATCAATCCAGTCTGTAATATGAAATGCATAACATTATAATGCTTGTCCATGCTGTGTTTATGTAATCGGGAATCACGAGGATTTAAATGAGTCATGAAGTGAAGGTATGTGTGATATGTAGAACTTAAAAATGGGCATTTCAAAAATACCACATCAGGAAACTAAATGCTTTGAAACGTCCCTGTATCTATATGAATGCCTCTACGCCTCAGATGTTGGACTCAATCTAAATTTAAACCATGATGTCATCAGAAACTCAATGTTGCCACGGAAACTAGGTCAGCGTTAACCCTTTGCGCGTCCAGATTTGGGAATTCCACCTTTGCCTAGATATATACGATTAAGGTAAAATCTTGTCGCTTGCTGTCGCCCACTTATCAAATCTTCAATAAACTTTGGTCTTTTTTTTCTGTGGCAACACTCGCCCAGTTCTGCGAAAGAGATGTTTTGAAAGGAAATCCTGCAGCCGACACGGAGGAGCAAACAACATGCTGTCTGCCTGTCTTGTGAGCTGTGGTTACTTTGGTTTTACTTCCTGAACCTTGAAGAAACTTGAGAGAAATGGCAACACTTCACTCTTTCAACATGTAAATTAGTTTAAGCTTAAGCCAAATGCGTATGTAGGATATTCAAAAGAAAGTGATTATTAAAACAGGAGGAAATGACTGGGATAACATGGCTTTTATTCATGGTTTAATTTTCCAATAATCACGTCAATTGTTGTATAATTCCATCCCCATTAAATCTGCCAATGTATTTTAATCCATACAACAATGCAAAACAATGCAAATTTCTCCATACACGCACCACCCATTGGCTTTTACAAACCCTTTAGTTATTTGACACGAAAACGCTAAAAAGAAGACCATCAACAGCCTGTTACATGGGCAACAGACAATAGTAAATGTTTTTCTCACAGACTGCAAGCTGCTCTTTCACTGTCAAAACATATGGCCATCGCTACAGCTTGTGCAGAAGACACAACAAAACACATGGCCAGGTACAAGATGTCATATTAATGTATATGGAAATCAACAATGGAAGCTACAGGAGCTATTGGAGAAGATAAAAATGTGTTCTAAAAGTAAACTGGATTTGGAGAGCTTTGTGTTGAAGCAATCTCTCGTCAAAACCACGGTACTATAATTATTACAAATGGATGGCAAAGCATTGTATTTAGACGGACTCTTTAAGCCAGTCAGAGACACAGCAGCTTATTTGCTCGCTAAAAACCTTGCCGCGCAGACTTCCTTTCCACATAAACACGAGCACGTGGCCCGTCTCAAAAAGCTGTGAAAGGAGTAGCCCAGATTCACACGAGCCAAAGGTTATAAATACTACTCCTACTATTACTACAGCTACAACCACTACTACTACGAATGCTACTACTTCAATCAGATAAATACACGTGACGCATTTATGCATCGCTCTTTTATGACATAAAGCTAACCAAGTGGCTATCTAACAACTGAAAGAGCAACCAACCAAAGCCTTTGGTCATTACTACTACTATCACATCTCCTGCTACTACTATTACTAATTCTACAACTGCTATAATAATTCTACAACTCCCATTTCGCATATGAACAAGCACGTGCCCGTCTAACCAGCAGAACCAGCTCAGATTCACACAAGCCAAAGGTTATGAATAACACTACTACTACTACCACTACCACTACTACTACGGCTACTAATAATACTACTCTAAAAAGACATACAGTAGGGGTGGCCCACAAGCGCATTTCTCCCTCTCACATAAACACAAGCATGTGCCCATCTAACCAGTGCGAGGAGCAGCCCAGTTTGATGCAAGCTTCATATCAAGTCTAAATACTACTACCACGACTACAGCTAGTATTACGACTGGCGGTGCCTACAATCAGACAAGAGATGTGCGCTTGCCTGACCCACTAACTTTTACTCCCTTTACCTCATGTGAACCGGGCGGCTCAGGGACTGCCCCGAGCTCCTCCTTCCTCGAGCCGGTCGCTTGTATGCGCACATGGCCCGATAGTAGCACCAATCAACAGAGAGCGTGGGGCGATTTAAACGACTGCATCACCAAGACACTACAACTCGTGCGCCCGGTGAAAGGAGGAGTGGCTGACTTATGGGGGTTTTGACTCAGTTCGACTGGAAATTTTGGTGTTTGGGGAGATTTGTTTGAGCGGAGATACCACGGTTACATAACAGGCTTCTGCGCTCGGCGGTGACAACGCATTGAAATGCAATGACAAGACAAAACTACCGGTGTATACCAGTGAAATAAAGACATTGCCAATTGTGACTGGGAATAAAATCTAAATTATTTTGAGTGGCCAAACCTGTCAGCACTGATTTAAAAATGTGTTTTATCTAATGTGTTGTAATATAGTTGTAAATATAGTTAACGCTAGGAAATGTAAATTTAACTGATGCAGAATTAATTAAATGCAGTGAATGGTAAAGTGTTGTGTGGTTGATAGAGAACGGATGGATGCACCTTCATATTGTAATGTATTTCTCTTTGTTACCAGGGAATGCAGAAACTAGCTATAATCTGGTGTAGAACATGATCTGTCTCTGTGAGCTTAAAGTCTCTGTTCTGTCCCTTCAATAAAGATTAAAGTAATTTAAGAACTAACTACAATTACAAACAATGTACGTCAGAAAAGTTAGCACTGTCTGTCTTTCTAACATAAACAACATGGACAGAAAGAGTATGAAAACTATTCATTCACCATTCACAATAGTAAAACAATTCCTATAGTTCCATCTAAAACAGAGATAGTTTTTGCATATAGCCCGTCTTCATAAATAACTAACAAACAAAACAATATATTAACAATTAGATTCAACCAAACAAAACATTACTCAAATGAGAAGAGAGCTGCAAGCCATGTATAGTCATTGCCAAGGCATTGCATAGAGCTAAACATCAAAGCAACTGGTGCAGACTAGAATACAAAAACCTTACATGCAAGCCTCAAATCATAAATAAAAATGTAGTATCACAATCCCTTTTGAACAATTTCAGTAGACATCAAAGGCAACTGCTTCACTGATATCTCAGACAAACAAAATGCACATTAGTCAATACAATGTCACCATAGTACCATGTTGATATGCAGATATGAACTGAATTTTACCTCTGCTGTAGGACGTGTGGTGTCCAGGCTGAGTGCACTGGCGTCTTCAGGATAGTCCACCTTTGCAGCAGTTCAATGGAGGAGGAGGTGAGCAGGACATAATGTAAGAAGAGAGAGAAAAGGGAGGGGGGAGAATAACAATCAATGACAATAATGCGACATGAGCCTCTTCAGAAAGCACTATACCGGTTATGACAGAACATCTCAAAGTCAAATCTATAAGCGGTATGCTGGATATAAATTGAAAAAGCTCTTTAGTTTGTGTGAATAATAAGCCGGCACTTCCCTCTGCTGATAGGCGGGAGAATTAGACCGGGTAAGAAGAGCAAAGAATCACTCATGCTATGATAAATTATGTAATGTAAGTTCTCTATGATGACATTGGGTATGTATAATAGTAACATTCAACACATTTCATAATGTGATTCCCAACCAACTCCCTCACCGGCTGTCTCAGTGCTAAATGTGTCTTGTCTTAATCCTCCCCTCCCTATCATTATCATCACTATGTCCCGCCAACCTCATTTCACCCCATTCCTCCTAAAATAGAATATTTACCCTGCGTTCTTGTGAGCTGTCTTGGTTCGTGGTCCAGTAAACGGCAGCCAAATCCCCATCCAGCCGGCTATCTCTCCTCTAACCCCTCTGCTATTCCTTCAAATCTAATGCTCAGTAGTGACTAGTCCTCCTCACTCGTCTGTGATCCAGCAGCAGCAGTCCATTCAGGAAGCCATCTTGTGTTTTTAATCGGGTTTTACACAAGTACTAGTACGCGCGTTCCCCTTTCTCTCTCCCTACCTCTTTCTATGTTAATGTCTCTTGCTCGACCCTTTTGCTTGCCTGCCACACACACTCAACCGAGACAAGCCCTCTCTCTCTCTTCCTCTTCTGTCTATTTTGTTTTGCGTGTGTGCGTATGTGTATGTGCGTGTGAGAGACCAGCACCACCCCTCCCCCTCTGGCTCTTTAAACATACATGTGCTACATACACACTCACGAGAAGAAACGTCACGCTACGGGACGCTCACAAAGGCGGCGCGTCCACCAATCAGGAAGCGGCTGCGCTCTGCTGCTAGGGTGAATTTTAAGCGGAGCATTTGAGGACTTTAAAGATATAGGTTTTACGAGTTGCTTAAAAAGCCTGGGAAACAGGGAAAGCCTTATTGGCAGGATGGATTTAGCAGTGTGCATGTTTGTGCGTACACAAAGACGAGGTTGGACTAGAGGCCGTTTGCTTTGCTTGGAGGGGGGATGGGTGGTCGCTATGGCTGTCAATTATCTCCTCGAACTCGCCTTCCCTAAACAATGCCTCTGGTATGCGGTATCACTGTGCACCATCTGTGCGGGGCTCTCTGCAAAAACTGGACTGGAGTGCACATGTTTCAAAAGTGCACACACACCAACCAAAAAGGGAGTGAGTCAGGGGGGCAAATGACAAGCAGAAAAGAAGGGTTACACAGCGAATACTGCCACGTGCTGAGGCAATGCTTGGCAAAGGCAAAAAGTAGACAGTTTATGAAGAAATATGGATTAGTAAATGGTTTTCCTTAGTGATTTGAAAGCGAAAAATATGGTAGAAAGAGAAAAAGGCATAGTGAAGCGTCATCAATGTTTGCTTCCAAATTGCATGTTATTTTTCCAACGCATTTGAAAAGCTTCGCCAACATCAATTTCCAAAGCAAAAATCCTCTTCGCGACCAGCGCCTTCTTCTTTTAACGGGAAATCTGTGTGTCGGAGGAGCGAAAAGAGCAGTTAAATTAGAAGCCAACATTATCGCGAGCCCGTTGAGGAAGTGAGCGAAATTTCACACAGCGCCGGTGTGGGAAAGAAGACAGCAGCTGGATTTGAAAACAAGACGTTGGAGGAACGAGGGAATCGAAAATAGACAAGGCTCAAATGTATGTGTGTGTGTGTGGGGAGCGGAGTGACACAGCGTTTCTGTCTGAGGCTGGCATACGCTGAAGGAAATCCCCCTCTCTGACGTCATGTGGGCACGTGCACCTTCGTGAGAATGTTTCTATCCGGTCCAGCAGCAGACGCGACTCGGCAGCTCGATGCGGGTGCTAATATACAGGTGCGCGGGAAAGCAAGAAGGAACGAGCCCAAAATGACACGCAATGGTAAATTCAGGGTCGTGAGGACAAGATAGGAGAGAATATATGATACGTGACAGCGCTGCCATGGATGTAGTCGACGTTTTAAAGAAACAGAGATGGAAGGCTTTGGAGTCACATCAGGTCAACTTTTGTTGGTTTAGAAGCCATAACACAGCATATAAACAGATTTTTCGGAACAAAAAGTAATCTATATATATATAAAATCTCTATTAGCACTATACTACCAATTTGCAGTGGGAGTCAGAGCCAAACTGAATCGAAAGGCAGAGATGGTTGAAAACCTAAACTCTGTCAAATCCAGCCACACTAGTTGTTAATCATCTGATATGCATCCCAATACATGTTAAGACTCTTACCCCAATAGACAAATATCCCTTTTGAGATTTGATTGGGTGGTGATGAAATCGGTCCAACAAATATAAATTAAATAAACTGTAAGTTTAAAACCACAAAAATTTAATGAGATCCATCTAAGAGTGTGTAATGTATTATAAGTAGTATGAGTAATATTATGAGTTGGGTACTACAGATTTTATGATTTTTCATGATTTTATTTTTACAGGGACAGTGTACAATAAACATTAACCAAAGGGAGAGAGCCATTGTAGCAGGAAGAGGCTAATTTACACCTGTAGTCCCTTTTGGTTCATCATTTTGTAACACAGGGCAGATGTGTCCTTGTATCCATGGCAACAGTGTGAGACACAGGAAGTGCATGGTCTCCAGGCAGTAAAGCCCAGAGCAGAGGCACAGGCTGGAGGAGGCGTGGGCAGGTTTTTATCACACTGTGAGGACATCTGTAACTCACTCTATCCATGGGGACTTGTTTTCTTATGGACAAGCGTCAGATAATTTGTAATTTGTAAGATATGGTTTAAGAGGAAAGAAATATTATGCAAATAGCTCTTAACCATGCCCAGAATTGAACAATATTTAGATTTAAAGAGATGAAAATGTATAATACTGATCCATGGTTTTCATTTATTAAAAAGTATACATTTTCTACTTGAAGAATAATTAGAGGTTGAAAAACATTTAGGGTAGGGTTTGGTTCAAGCTGTTGTACCTAATGTTTCCTCTCACATATAATAAATATTGACTGTCCCAACAAAATTGTCTTTTGCATACTTGTGAGAAAGAGCCATATGGTTAGACCTAACGATGCATACAAATGAATATGATACTAGTGATACTAGTGATAGAACCAAACTGTTTTGAGAGTAGGGAACTAGTCAGACAGATTTTATTACATAATTCAATAGCTTGGTACCCCAGCTTCAAGGTTATTAAATAGAGTAAATGTTGAATTGCTTTAAAGGACTACAGATGGAAAATAGAAAGGTGTTAAATCTGCTGCAGCCATCTTTAAATGTAACTGCACATAGTAATCAACAATGCACATCGATGTGCATTTTACTGCACATAAAAATAAGCAAATAAATACAAATCTCCAGGATAGTGATATCAGTCATAGCATGTCCCCGAAAAGCGTGTCAATCCAACAGTGTGTGTGTCTGGTGGAAGAGTATTATTGATTGATAGAGACCTTGTTAAAAGCTTCACGTCTATTGTGTAGGTCTAATGATCTGGACTTTAGCCCATGGTCTGGTGGTTGCAAATGAAATTAGATTTTTTATTTTATTTTCTTCAACATCAGTTAACTGTATTGATCATGCAGACATGCCATGTATGTTATATCAAAGTATTTTAATACTGCATTTCCTGTGTTTAAATCCTCTGATCTGTTGTTGGCGAATCAGCAACTTTAAGTCCTCTGAGATGGCTGCTGTTGTAATTTAGGGCTATCAAAAATACATTGAATTGAATTAAATTATACATGCCTTTCTTAAATTAGGCTAAAGCTGTGGTTCTCAAAGTGGGAGCACGAGACACTAAGCTGCAGGGCTGTGAGATGACTTAAAGACAAAAATGTACTGTATTTCAGCAATTAATTGACTAAAATCATAAAAATGTAAGTGACTTTAAGTCAGATAACACAATAAATGAATGCACAATACTACAATTGGACAAAATCTAATTGCCCCGTCTAGCAGCCGGTGTCACGAGTGGATTTACACATTCATTTGTGGGTCCTTAACAGAAACGTTTGTGAGGCATATTTCCTAAAATCTGAATTTCTAAAAAAGAAACTGTATAAAAAACTGCTTATGATTATATGGCCTGCTCCGATAACAATAAATAATGTCCCATTTACTAAAACCTTTGCGGCCTGCTTATGCCCAACACCAGCCTTGAGTATTGTAAACAAATGGAGAAACTAAAGTGGTCGAGTTGAATAATACCAGAGTTCAATGCGAGGTCGGAGGATGTACAAAGAGTTGGTTGTAAAATACTACTAGCCGCAACCACAAAAGACCTCCACCACACGTATATCCTGTGTCTATTTTACAGCTTTCACTACTGAGATATGGAGCTTTGAAGCACCGAAACATAGGGAGAATAATATGTCAGAGTCAGAGTCATCACAGAGCTGAGACTGAGAGGATACAACTCTCCAAATGAAACAAACAGGAAGTCTTTGGGTGACCGCCTCAGACTGTTGCAAGAGTGAGGCAATGGCCCTCATTTATGAAACTAGCGCAGAAAAAGGTGTATATTTTTGGTGTATATTCCATTTACGCCAGACTCAATGCAGGATTTATGAACGTGAGTGATACGCACAGATCTGAGCGTACGCATACGCAGTTGTTGATAAATGCCGCGCTCAAAACTAGCGTATTCATGAAAGTCACGCCTAGAAATGTTCAGAAACCGCCTGTTTCACGCCCCGTTTTTACGACAGGTCAGCATGGAAGTCGGCCAGCAAGACTAGTTGGAAGCCTCAAAAGGCCTGTTAGTGACACGCACTGAGTTTATATTGAGTTTTATTGTATCATTTTGTTAAAAAAAACAAAAACAAAGAAACGCTATATTATATATACACGTTTTTTCGCTAGTTTCTAAACCCACTGCAGCACTCATCTCTCTTGAACTTTAGAAATGAAGGAATTAATGAAGGAATGAATAAATGAATATTAATATCTCAGCGGTGACTCTCATGATTAATGGGTCAAGCGTCAGCGACATCTTCTTGTGAATGCAATGGAGCGATCTCTGAGAGAGAGAAAGGAGCGTATGAGTTTGGGAAGTGTCCGTGAAATCGCAGAGAAACTCCAGATTGATAAAAGCCGATTATTTGCGTACGCCTCATTTACACCCTGATTTGGCCGTACACAAGTTTCATAAAAGTGAGACAATGTGTGAAATTTGGAAGGACAGACTTAAGAAAATAAAGATTGTTATTATAATGATATTGGATATTGTTACATTGCACAACATTCAAAGTGCCTCAACTTAATTATAAGGAGAGAACAGCTCTACATTGATGAGACAACAGCCAATAATATGGCCACGCAGGAAAAATGATGTGTTATATCTGTAAAAGATCTGCTGTGCAACGTAATTAATTAACTGAAATTTCTCCACTGTGGGACAAATAAAGGATCTCTTAATTTAAATCAATACAACTGTATGTATTTCGATCAAAGATTCCAGTTGTTTTTATCAAATGAGCAACTGTCTGCTTTCAACCAAAATGTGTGTTCTTTACTGACCCCCAGTGGCTCGATCATAAACTTGTATTTAATTAGTTAAAGAGACAGTATGTACTATGCATATGCTACCGTTTTGTCACACAAAGTCCAATTTGCACAAAATTTGAATCTGTTGTTCAATTCTCAGGCCTAGGTCAACTGAATGTCCCCTGATTATTAAAAATCAGGAGACATTCAAGTGAATGATGAATCAAGTAGTAGTTTATATCCTGAAAGGTCAGTGAATATGTGAATATTTATACAAGTGATGCCCTTGATGTGAACAAGAACATGTTCACATGACTTTTATTGGCTTGTTTGACTAAAAACACGTTTTATTCTGCAGTCATTATTAATTATCTAAGTCATAAAACATCTTCTCTGCATGTTTAAAACTGTTTAAGTATGAACTTATGTGCGTTTATTGTTAAATATTAACTGGTCATTACAACAGTACTTTACCACTTGACATTTTGGTTATCTGAAAGTCAAAGCAAACATATGTATTGGTGCCGTGGCAGACACTTAGGGAAGCTTCTGTTTTTTGCCTTGGTATAAAACATGTGAACACTGAAAATTCTGGTCATGTCACTTATGCTGTGTACCAACATTTAAACATGTCTTCTGCTGAGACATGATCCCAGGCCTGTGCAGATTTTGTCTTTTTCTGTATAAAGGTCAAAAATCGATTACTTGCTGGACTATTAAGCGCACCTATAGATAAATTGCACCAGCAGCATGTTAAAATAAATTAATAGTAGTAATTTTGTCCACATACTGTAGAGGCTGCACTTGAATTTAGGCAACAGGTTCATGCTGTAAAGTAACACAACAGCTAAGTGAGCAAAACAAAGCAGAAAGACAACGGCTCTAACTGGTCACAGCATGATTTAATGATGAGTTAACAGCTTAACCATTAGCTTCTGGGCCGGTAATCATTCACCAGTCTATTTTGATGATAAATGTGTGACCTATAGCTACTAAAACTTGATGGAGTCAAAATAATAAGTCTATAAACTCTGCTCTGACAAAAGCCCAATTATACCATAATAGAGTTGGGCCGCATCGCTATACAGTAGACCCTCGCTATAACGTGGTTCATCTTTAAGGGCCTGTTTTGCTAATTTGTGTGTTTGCAAGCCCTGTGTGTGTTCTCCAACAACATCATATAATTGCTGGTATAACATGACAGTTCAGTTTATTTAAAATGTAAAGAAAAATGTTGTGGCTTATGTGATAATAGTCCTTTATTTGTCCCACAGAGGGGAAATCAAAGCTTTGATTAGTTCAGAGGACTGATCAAGTCTTCCTGTAGGCACAAAGTCCTCTGCGCTGCAGCTGTATTTTACAGTGTATGCACGGCTTTTGACAGCTGCAGCAGCGCCCAGACCTACAATGAACGGGTTTGATAACCCCGCAATTGCACTTCAGCAGTCATGACTTCAGGTGGGTAAAAAAGTGTGTGCTGAGGGGTTTTACAGCCTTAAAACATATATTGTTGCTTATTGCTGGGTTTTTTTTTAAACACAATCCCTGCTATATATGAGGGAATCACTGTATCGGCCGCAGTGTTCAAAGAGCTTGATTACTAAATTAATTGACAACTATTTCAATAATTGATTATTTGTTACAGCCCTATATAGAACAATGAGACAATATAATATTTTTTGTGACTGGCCTAGTACTCACAGAAGGTTTGGGAACCACATCACCGTGGCTATACCTGCCTGAATGACACATATTCAGTATTGTTTGCACTACTTTGCCGGCAAACAAGAAGGACAAGCCATAGTCAACTCTTTGTGCACACGCTTCTTGTATTTCCGGCTCCAGCGCCCGCCCCGTCTTCCCGTACCCCTCCCCCGGTCTTTAAACCCTGGTGCACGTGCGCTACCTTGGACACACACACTGGAGTCTAAAAACATGCCTCTCTCTTCTCCTTTTCTCTTTTGACACAGCGGCCCACTCCCCTGTAACCTCACACACACACAAAATAGCCCAGGTCAACCCCCGCTCCGCACTCAAAGCCGGGGAGGTCGGAGGCCAGAGCGCAGGCAACTAGAAGAATTCTTTACTGCTGCTGGTTAGTGGAGCTCGCAGTCTCCCAGTCGTGCAAAGCCACCATCCACTAAGTGCTTTGAAATTAAATAACTTTGTCTTATATATGCTAAGGGAATGACATTACCACAGTTTGCTTATCACAGAGCTGTCTAAACTATAGTCCTCAAAGAAAATGATTCATCTTCCTGATGTACTGGCCTAAATAATCACTTTACTGCAGATGTTTAAATAATTCTACATTCATAACATCAACAGCACATACTGCATTGTCATACAGACCAAAACTGCATTGTTTCATTTTTCAGTGGCCTTTTCCTTTTAATAGGCTCCAAAATGTGTCCCTCAATGAAGATTTGAAGTGAAGATTTGGACGACAATGACACTATATTGCTGCTCAACTATAAAACTACCCAATTGCTATATGTCCTCCACAACTGCCCAGATAATATGCAGACTCAGACCAGTTCAGGACAGAATATTGTCAACGAGTAAATAGAAGAGATCTATAGTAGCATGAGGACAAAAGTCTTGAGTTTTGATATTGTTTGTGACTTGATCATTTGTGGACTTGTTCCCAAAAATAGTTGTGACTGTAATACCATCAGAAGTATATATCAAGAGTATAAGGGTATATTTCATCCTGGTTATTGTCCCATCTAGATGCTGTATAATTACACCTTACTGTTGAGGTTGTAAAAGAATGTAAATACAAAGCTGCACCCAGTACACATAGTACCAGTCCCAGTAATGTAAATAACTAACCATCTTTAATTGATTAAATGAGGACCTAACAAAAACTATTTATAACATTGTTGAAAGCTATTTTAAGCATGCTATGTCCCCCATTTATGTCAGTCAAATATAGTTTGTGATTGAAATCAATATCGATGAGGACATGAAATAAATTGTTGTGGTCTGCTCTTCTTTTTGATCTGCTGTTTCACAGAATTATTACATGCTAAAGTCTGAGAGTTTTGGGGGTAATTCCCTTTTTGTCCTGGAGCTCTCGTTTGGACCGTTGCCTTTTTAAGAAGGATTAGTTCCTTCTTAAAGTAAATAGCCATTGTGCACTTACAACCTAGATTTAGCTCAACAGGGTTTAGCAAGTTTAGGATTTGTGGTATACATTGCAATAATCACAGCCTGCAAAAGAATTGTATATATCTGAATATTTTACCAAAACTCTATATTTAAAAGGTGGCACTGTCTTGCAATTGTGCTCCTTAATACTTGAAAAATAAGAATAAGAAGTTTCTTTGCAATTAAGGCAAAGTTTACATTGGTCAACTATGCCCCCTTTTAACCACCTCTGTGTTGTTCTTGTCATTTCTGTTTTGACCGCTGCAGCGTACTAAGAGTTTAAAACGACCCTTTCCGCTCAGCGACCTTAAACTGGGCCAGAGGACAAACGCGTCCAAACATGATGCACAAGAATCTGAGGAGAGGAAGTGTTGGATTTGAGTTTCTGAATGTTTCATAGAGCATTCAAAACAGAGACGTCAAGCCAAAAAATGGAACCAAAATCATTATAAAGAGCGCATTGTTGGTATTTTAGCCATGGTGTTTTTTTGGCTTGTCATTTACCAACTTAAAGCTAGTCTTAGAGTGATTCATGCACGTTTTGACTAACCTTGGTTATCCTCCACTCTAGACACCATTACTCTGACAATCCCCAATTTTCCTCCCTTGATGTATGACCACTGTTTTATATCCTATGTGCTCTCGCGCTGAGGTTTTGTCTCTGTGATATGACATCAACGACTGTTACAACATTTGCAAACTTGAGGAGGGCTGATATATACAGGCACCCTGGGATTTTGGGTTAAAATCTAATGTTTTTGTCCAATGAGAATGGCAGTTTAGTTTATGGAATCAAATAGATGATACCTCTTTGTATAACACCTTTTCAAATGACTCAACTTGTTTTTAAACTCCAAAAACCCTCTAAATAAATGTCGAAGCTCACCTCAGTCTCGTCGCGCCTCTTCTTCAAGGAGTCGCACTTGCGCAGTTTGCAGATCTGTTTTCCTGTCTTTCTGTTGAGGCAGTTTCCGCAGTTCCCGCAGTTCTTTCTGAGTAGACACGGGCCGCAGACGCCACATTTACGCCTTCTTTTCTTTTGGATATCGGACGCATCCAAAGAGTCTAACCCGGGCAGCGAGTACAGGCCGGCTTGTTGGTGTTCTGTCTCAATGAAGTTTCTGAGAGGAGAGCTCTTGTCTGTTGAAGAAATTCGCATGTCCTCCGCGTCCAGAGAGAATTCATAAATGTCATTTTGAGGCTGCCCAGGACCAGTTCTTGGTTTTGGCATTGTTGCTTCTCGTGTGTGATTGATTATATTGGATTAAAAAGTGTATAAAAGGTTAAAACTTATCATTTCAAATGTATCATCAAAGGCAAATAGTGTCCTGTGCACCTTACTTTGAGGCTCGTCAGTAGCTTATTTACGCCACCATATTTCTTAACATGCATATTGTCTGCTCTTGGTCCATTGGGGGGACCAGGACAGCTGGGGTGGCAGAGATCACTCCGATGTCCATTTTTCACTTCTCTTCTGATGGATGGCTGTAAGTTCACCCATGAGTCGATAGGGCCAGGGAACACAGGCCTAAGTGTGTCCAACACCTGTGATATCTGTGAACAAAAGAGACGAGGTCAGAGAAACTTTTAGCTAGTTTTACCCAGACCCGCTAGCTCAAATAGGGGAGCTCTCATGAACAAAGTTTTGCTTTAAAGCGCTTTGGTTCCCATTGACTTACATTAGAAAAGTAAATTCCTCTGAATCTGTAAACACTTGTGTCACACTCACCAGTTTGGCCTTAAAAATCTGTGGTTTGACGCGGTATGATCCTGGTGCCTCCTGATTGGCTCTTTGGTTGCTAGGTTGTTGCTAACCACAAACCACACCAGATTTTGGCCCATGGAACTTGTGGACTTAAGCTCTAATTAGCTTCTTCTGTAATGGATGACGTCAACACGCGGTTATTACACACCTTCTAAAGTCTATAGTTCTATGGTTTATGTGATCTTTAGAATATTTAATGGGCCTTTCATGCTTTAGAATGTGAAAAATGTATGAATAAATATGTAAAATGCGAGATGAATAAAATAACACATCTTGTGTCAAATTGTGTTATTGCAATCATTTAAATTTTTATATCTTAGAAATGTATCCTGATTTTTACTATGCCTTACTCTATTCTCTACCTCTCTTCTTTTGACTGGTTTACAGAGAGTCAAAGCAATTTCCCAGTCTGTGACTTCCTGTTACTTACATGGCGATAAAACTGATTCTGATTCTGATATTATGGTAGATTTAGATCTAAATCTTGCATGACGTGGCCTCCCTTGAACATATTTTCCAAATGAATTTGAAGCCAATACTTTTGTTTTACAATGAGTTAGAAAAAGGAGAATGGGGACAAATCTTTTTTTGATGGTTTGTTGCAGAAGTTAGCGTTGCCAGGTCTGTTTTTGATAAGAGACCGATATTGTAACATGGGTAAAAACTTGTCTCTACAGTCCTGTATTTTTTGTCTCATATCATTCTAACATATAATTTCTTTGTTAAATAGGCTTAATATATATGCTTAAAGGCGCTATACCCGTTTCTGCAATGTTTGAATGTTTAGCACCGCCCCCCAACTCGCTCAATGGCTTCTCATTTCCCCTACGCTCTCATAACATAGAGCCATCTAGTTTTATTTGCGATCTGATACGTATGCTAACATTAGCATTAGCACAACTTGTAAGCAGTGCAACAATCACTGATGAAATGGCACTAAAGCAACGCACTGCTAACACAATATATAAGTAAAAGAATACCGCTAGTTTCGCGTCCGAATGTATTAATTTAAAACCTTAGAATATATTCTAATATTTAATTATAATTTGTTATAGAGCTCCTCAAAGCAGCAGCACTCCATTGACTTGAATGCAATTCTTCCGATCATTTTTTCTTGATAACAGAACTCTCAAACCAATAATGACCGCAGCCCCAATGCAATCTCTGTTTGTGATTCAGGTGTGTAAAATACTGCCATTACTCTGCAAGTACAACAAGCTATCAGCACCTGTCACTACACACTTGTCTGTGTAGAGAAGCCAACGGAGCTAGCGGAGCTAGCCACGCTCAATAAACAAATACATATCTATCAATCAACACCATTAAAGGTCAATCGGACAATACAGTACACATATACATCCTTAACACACATGCACGGATGATTTCAGAATTTGCTGTTAACGTTTTCATGACAAAATTACTGTTTTAAAGTGACAAAAAGCGATTGCGAAAAACCCGGAAGTTACCATGAAACAACTAGCTAGCTTAGCTGTTACCTGCCTAGCACGTCCCGGTGAAACCTTTGGGAGCTAACTATTTTATTTGCAGTCATTAAATACATTTCGAATTACAAGGGTTGTCTAATATTTGTTCACATTTTTTTATTCAATTATTTTGTTCATATTTTTTTATTTTAGAATTATATTCGAATTTTGAAGTTGAAGCCCTGGTGTTCCGCAGCGCTGTAGAGACTAGAGGACGCAGGCTGTTCGCTGCTCGTTCTGTGAGCGGAGGAGAAAGAGCGGCCCGCTCAGACTCTACTCAGCACTTTTCACTGCTTGTAATTCTTACACAGCTGAATCAATTACCTCAAGTTTTCAATTAAATGATGTATTATGATACAACTTGTATGTAGTAAAAAGCATTTTTATGAACTACTTAGAAAAAAAATCGGGTATAGCTTCTTTAATAAAATGTTTTATCTACCACATATTTCTCTGGACTACGATTAAGTGACTATTTAAATTTAAGTATAAAATTCTTTCCGCCGGTTAACCAAGTTGGGATCAAACGTAGCATTACATTTCAACCTTTCAATTTGTTAATATTTCAAGTCATTTTAAATGAATATATTGAATGCAAATGGCCACATTCACTCATGCAAATAAATAGCTTCAAGGCACAGGACTCAGTAGTTGCACTTCTGCACATTTCCAATGGGTTTTTGACTTCAATAATTACATTCATGTTATGCACTCAGGCCTCGTCCACCCAAACAGCCCCAGTCTGGACCCTGTCTGGGTCTCAAACACAGCTGTCACAGCACCGTCCCATTGGCTCTGTGCCCTGGCAGCCTGACGTGAGCTGCTTGAGAAAAAGATACTATGATTTTTTAATGGCAGACCCCACATGGAAGCATAGGAGGGGGCTTGGTTTTCCCTCAGCACAAGAGAGAAAGAGGGGGACAAAAGTTGACGCTGGCGACAGTACTCTTTGTTTTGTGGTCACACGCTCCAGTCAACCGTCCATAAGGCGAATTGTGCAAAGAAAAGCAGAGCGGCCGAATCTCTGCACATGGCTGGAGAGGTTTCAGGCAACAAGTGATGCAACAACACTGTCCGCAATAACACTAACTGATCCACTGTTGCCATGAACACTCCTGACTTTACGCTAGGATTGGCAAAAGTATCAGAAATTAGATATGAATCAATACTGAAAATCAAATTGAAAATACTGAAAAACCTGGAAAAATTGTGAGTTGTAATGAGTCAAATCATAGTTTTAAACTAAGATGAGTTCTTCTCTAAATACTAGAGCTATATATTTTTTATTTTATTTATCTTGTTGTGCTCCTTTGACCTCTGCTCTAATGCACTTCCTCTTAGTGGGATGAGTAAAGGCTATGTCATAAATGGGAAAGCAGACTAATATGGGAACACTGTAAATGCTGGCAGTAATATCCCGCTAATCAGAAAAGGGTTGGACTTATTCCATGGAAATGTTGTTCCTTTGATTACAATCTTTTATTGTGAATTGAATGGAGCCTCCACATCCATTGCTCCAGATTTTGCATCCCCATGTTTACTCCTGACTCTGGGCACTAACAGGAGTCCAGTCCCTGTGCTCCTCAAGAGTCCGAGTTGGTTTATATGGCACCAACATATCACGGATGTACTTTGGTGCGAGGCCATGAAGAGATTTGTAACAAGCAGAGCTGTTTTAAAGTCTATTCTCTGAGCCACAGGAAGACAGTGCAGAGACCTGAGAACTGGACTAATGTGATCGTACTTCCTGGTTCTAGTCAGGACTCGAGCTGCAGTGTTTTGAATGCACTGCAGTTATTTTATAGCCTGTTTGGACAGACCTGTGAGCAGGCCATTGCAGTAGTCTAACCTACTGGAGACAAATGCATGGATAAGAATCTCCAAGTTTGCTTTTGACACTATGTTTTAGATCCTTCGATCACACACGGTATCCAACTGATTTCCCACAGAGCACCTTTTCGGGAACATGAAAAAGAGAATAAAGACAGCCTAATGGAGAATCCATAGGAAAGAGGGTGATGTGCTACTTCTATCTCCTGAGCTATAAGTTGGAGGCTTTAACTGTAATTAGCCACCTTTAATTCTGCTTAAATAGCCAATTGGTGGGATGGAGATGTTTTTTATTTGCTGGAGCACCTAACTTGCAATTAAAAGAAGAAATATGTTTTCTAAAAACATTAAGACATCATGTTGTGACACGGACAGCAAACGTATATTATAATAATATAAAAGTTAAGATGCATTTATAAGACTAATGCTATAATGAGTCTTACCAGATGCTGGTGAACCATGTGCTCTTGCAAAAAAGTAGCAACACATCAAAAAAGCATGTTCTTAAAATGGTAATAACTTGCGAATAAGATCTGTACTTGTCTAACTACATGTTAATAGCAGTGTAACAATAAGAAGTTTGGCCAATCTTGTCAGAAAGGTTAGCTGGATAACTACAGGTCAACCTGGAGGGAGGGCGCGCTGTTTTCCACTCAATAATCGAATACAATTAAGATAAGCGACATTTTGATACAGCTTTCTGCTGCTATGAACTTTAGTAAGCTAACATCACGCAACTACTCCGCACGTGCTGCAATTATGTCTCAATAATGGACCAATCAGAATCGCGCCACGTTTTTCGCTGAGTTCGCGCGCTGCGTCAACCCAGTAGGTGCCATATAGTCCCTTCTCCTCATCAGATAAAACTAACAACACGCATAGATTTACAGCGGGGAACATGGTTGTTATCTTTCCTCACAACAAATCGATTAAGGGTCCATTGTACTCGGGCTCCAGAGTGTCAGAATCCACACCTTTCTGCGCGCTAATACACACTTCTCCAACTCATTGAAATATGGCCATTACACGTTAATGCGCGTGACGTCTCCAAAATACACAAAGCAGTGGTGTTAATTACCCTAGTTATTTTGCATTTCAAACAAGAAAAAGCTCACAACATTGTCATATTGAGTTAAAGCTGGTGTGCATTAACTCAAAACTCAACTAAAAAATATGACAAAAATGTAAATTCAGTTTTCAAAACAGTTTTTTTTAATCACTATTTCTTTTTTTACATGCATGTGGAAATTTACCTCTTTATACATCAGTTTTTTCAGGGGTAAAAGTGAAAAAGAGGACCACTCTCATCCCAAAACGTCAAATAGTGACACACAGGGCTCTTTCTTAAGTATGCAAAGTAGATAACATGTTTTCTAATAAGATGAAGCAGCATGTTGTGGTCTAATCTAATGCGTTCTATTCGTGAAGAAAACGAAGGAATATGTGCCTATATCAAACAGTGCAAATAGATCTATATTAAACAATAACCATATATTGATCATAACTTACCACACTGATTAAAAAACAAAAAACAGGCTATTTTCGACGCGGCGAAGGCAAGTCTTGATGCGTCTCTGGAGGTTCTCACGCACTTGTTGGTTTCTTTTGGATACATAAAAGCGGGAATGGTACACAAGTCCAGGAGATGCAGCTGCAGAAGAACTGTTCATAAGTGATTGGAAGCTGCTGTGTGGCCCCCGGACCATAGATGGACGGGGGTGGGTGGGGGGGCAGCAGAGGGAGGGAGGGCCAGGGCGAGGAAAAGGTTGTATGTTTTTGGAGGGGTCTAAAGTCATTAGGAAATTATGGAGTGGAGTCTGTCCAGCTTTGTCCACGCAGAAGCACGTGATGTGACGCGTCGCTGCAGTGGCGGTCAGGAACGGCCCTTGGACATATGAGACCTCAGGAGTCCAGAGATGACGCCCAGAGCGGCTTCAGAATGTACCGTAGGCGTGTACATTCTCTGCCTTAGAAAGTCCGTGAGGAAGTGCACGTAAATGTGTGCGTAATCTTTGTCTAAATGCACATGGCTGATATCTGAGGTTTAAACCACGTGCTCGTTTTCGGTGGACTTTAAATAAATCGTCAATGTATTCATAGCGACGCAACACCGCCCCCTTCTGGTAAAGCCCCTGTATTTCATTTACTTTTGTTTATGTTTTCCCACAAGTGTAATAGCTGTTTTAAAATAGGAAAACATTATTGCATAAAACATACAACAACAATTTAGGACCAGAAAATTCTATATAAATATTAAAGCTGGTACATAAACTTAAAAACCCCAGGAAAATATTTTCTTTGTATCAACAGTAATACTCTGTAGCTTTGTGCACTAAACCCGACAGACTGCCTTCCCCTTATTAGTAAGTATTCAATCTTTTGCACACTTCTTTGAGACGCAGTTACCACCTACATGTGGACAGCCATACCCTGTGAAAACTCTGAAGCTAAGCAGGACAGGTCCTAGATAGTTCTATGATGGGAGACCTCTGGAAACACCAGTGGGGCGACTGTGGCTGTAAAGTACAATGAGCTGCACCAATGGCAATTCCCAACAGTAGGATGAATAAAAGCTCTATTATCTTATCTATTTAAAATTAACATATTAATGAGGGAAATGTTCACTCATATTTCATACAATCATATAATTATTTTTGCATAATTCTCGGTTGGACACAAAGAACCAGCTTTTCAGTCGCAACTGGTCCAAATGAGGGTGGACACATAGACCGCAATATATTGACTAAAATCAAAATACATTTGTGCATAAAGAAAACATATGGAAGACATAAAATACAGAGAAAAACAGATTTATGCAACATTTAATAGTAGAATCAAGCAAGGCATAAATAAACAGTCCTCATGTTTTTAACAAGTTGCATTTTTAGAAAAAGTGTTACGACAGCATTTGGATTCAACTACTCGTACCAAGAAATATAAATATATGGAGAAACATTACATTATACATTAGATTCCATAGAGCATAGTTCACCACAGAGGACGGCTTTGTTGTTGAATGATCCGGTGTTGAGACAAAACCAAATCAATTATGTGCAATGTTTTTTTTTTTTTTTTTACAAAGTCAAGAATGATTACAGCATATAGAAAAAAAAACATTAAATAAACAAGAAAACAAGAACAAGATCTGCAGTACAAAGCCATAACTTTCCTTCAAACAAGTATATTTCCAGACAATTCTTCCCAACTACCAGAGACTTTCTTCAGTTATAATGTTGCAACAAAGGGGAAAGATAAAATTGATACAAACATGAGACGTTTTCATAAAAACAGCAGGAAAAACATACAAAGACAGAGTGGACAGGTTGGTTCTGGTCACAGAGGAATTAAAAGCATTTGTCATAAATAGTTAAACATTTGAAGATATTCTCGGACAGGCCTGTCATGGTAATTATGATATTGAGTTGTTCAATAAAATAAAGCTGGAACGATGTTTTGAGGCATAATTATCATTGTCTTTATCCATTCTTTTCATCAATAAGAACTTGTTTTCATGTGTTTTCAATATATTAACATGTCAGCTTTAATGCAGAAGTTAAGCAGAGACACCCAGATTTTCATATCCTCAAACCGTGAGGCGTTTCGAGGCTAGCTGAGAGACATCTATTGTGTCCTGGGTTTTGCTTGGGGTCTCCTCATAAATTATTTTAGCAAATTAACCACATAAGTGTATTATTCTGGGCTTTTTACAGTGAATGATTTTCATATTCTTACAAGTATTTCCTGGGGTTATACCACTATAGGCATTTAATATTGGATGTATTACTGTATATTTCATCTTGATTTGCTACTCCCATAATGCTTTTGGGCTCGGGGTTGTCGCTTCCATAGAAACCGTATACAAGTACATTTGTCATAAAGCAACATTTTCCAATAGAACAAGCGTAAATGTTTTTATCTTTTTTATTTCTGAAAGAAAAAGTAATTTATGCTTCTCCCATTAGCAAAACTTGTTAATGACTGACAAAAATTTATCAAATAAAAAAAAATATCACCTCATTCAAGCATTTTTTAACTTGTCATATTTCACAGTGTTTCAATGTCACACTTAAAGGTGTTTGGTTGTAACTTCACTGATGGGTTCTGCAGCCACTTGTGAGGTGTCATTTCTCTGCTTGGAATGTAATTACTGCTCAAAAACCTGAATTCTTACATTGGGTCGGCTCTGCTCTCCGTAGATAACACTTGAAACTATCTCACGTGCAGTTAATTAATCGCTCTGCTCCAATGTAGACGGAAAAGCTAAATAATTGCAAAAGATACTGCAAAACATTCTTGGAAAAATAATAACAATAACAATATACCTAAACAAAAAGAGCACCTTTCATCAAGAAAGTTGTGTAGTGTGCCTTAAAAAACAAAAAAGTGACAGACCTATTTGTAGATAGACCAACATAAGGAAAACATACAGTAGATTTGGAAATGCTGTTTGATCAGAACATTTTCCTCTTGCGATTGGGAGTGTTTTGGTTTTTCACTAGTAACACCCACTTTTGCACACAATATGCTGGTTTAGTGGGCATAATGAGAAACAAAACACAACTTACAGAACTGAATCCATAATGACTTGTTGGTTTTCTTTATATTCTGTGTGAAATGGTCCACTCTGCTACATGGAGCCTCCAGTGTAAAACCGTGCTTTAGCCTTCTGTCGTGTGCTGGTTTGATCCACGGGCAGCAGTCTCTACGTCCGGACCTGAAACTTGCCGGCCTTCGTCATGTATTTGATGCCTTTGAACGGTTTGTACTTCTCGCCATACATATCCAGGCGGTTCACCTTCAGCCCTGGGTCAAAATGATACGGAATAAGAGAGATTGAATGTGATGTGAATGAAGGAAATTTATTAACAAGATTTTAATCATTTTATTGCAAAGTTGAAAGTTCTGAAACCATGCACAGAAAAGACATGGGTTGCTGCCATCTGGTGGTAGAATAAAACCCTGCATCTACACTGAGACTTATCAGGCGATCATCAGCTGAATGGGGAGGAAAGTAGAAACACTATGATGAGAGTAAAACTGAATGAATATCCTGTTTGTGTAACTTGTGACTAAAATGTGGGAAGGGTGAAGAATAAAACAATTGTAATCGGTCTGTATAAATAACTGAACATGAGTTTCAAGCCTATACAGTATATAGATGGACAATGCTAACGTTTAAGCCCAAGAAAAGGTCCTCTTGGCTTCTATTGACGTACATTGAAAAGTACATCAAAAGTACTCATGATTTACACTCAGGAGCCTTTTGTCGCCAAATTCAGCTTAAGCTACCAAGTCACCAAAAAATATATTTGACTCTACAGTGTGTGTGGCGAATAATTCAGTTCCAATTATACTCATGTAAAGATCAGTTGTACTTTCCTCAAAAAGTGATCTTAAACATGTGTGTGTGTTGTATTTTCTTCCTCCAGACATGTAACATGTTAGACAACGGAAATTAAAGAAAATGTTTTTTACCTCAGATAATTGTGAGAAATTGTTGAATCATGTTTATTTTATTCTCTTTAATTTTGTAATACCTGAGATGGCCATTTGTTGGATCTTAAACTGGATGTTGAAGGTGGGGTTCTCATCTGGTTTGGAGGCTCCGGCCTGGAGGCTCATGCTGCCCTTCAGATTGGGCAGTTTCTGAGGGTTGATCTTCCCCACGTCCCAGGACAGCAACTATACACAAAAAGTATGAGTCGTATTTGACACGACAAACTTTTCTCTACTACAGTCTATAGCGAGTGGATCTTGGATCTAAACTAAATTCAATAAACGAGTTTAGACTTGGTTACCTTGGTGACAGGGTCAAACGTGTATGTTCCTTGGGAGGGGTTGAGGTTGACGTTGAGGACGCCTCGAGGGAGCTGGCTGCTAACTAACACGGCCTCCACCGCTTTACCCATGGTCTGTTTGGGGCCCAGCGTCATGTCAAAACGGCCCTGAGAACTGCCCTCGCGAAACGTGATGTTGTGTTTGACGTACACTGGGATGGCCACGAGGCTGGAGGAAGAAAAGGAACCAGTATGATTTGCAAAGGCTATTCAGCACATATCTATGTCCTCCACAAAAGTGCACTAAATTGTATACACATTAAAACAATTTTTTTTGAACCTGTGCTCTGTAATTGTTGTACCTGTAGGAGCCATTTAGGGTTTTTGTTTTTCTGTGTGAATGTGACTAGTACATGCACGCGCGTATAGTATCATGCACGGGTCCAGTGGGGGTGGTTGTCTATTCAGTGCACGCGCTCACTTCAGCTGTGTGTGTGTGTGCCTGTGTCATGGCGGTGGGGTGAGCTGGGGAAGGAACTTTCTGTTGACCGCATGTTTCCATCAATTAAAATATCTGCACTGTCTTAATGAGGTATCTTCATCATCATTCCAGCAACATTCCAAGTAAGTGCCTGATTCATTTCTACTCTCCGCAATAAACTTCATTATACTGTGCAATATCTCCGACTGCGCGTCATCAGTGTCTGCTCCCTTGCTTAGCCCGCCGTGGCGTCATGGATTAAGTTTGCCCTCCCATACGCCACTATAGTACCTTTTGGACATTTTATTAACTTTGCCCGCCTTTTGAGCACACTAGATTCTACTCATTTCCTCAAGGGAGTCCAGTCATAAGCTGAAGACTTGAGTAAATGAATGAAATCTGGTGTGCTCTGTGAATTAAAACCTGCAGCCACATCCGCCACTGGTTTGACTTTACATATTGGTTATTTTACATATTGGTGGGGAGATAATGGAAACAACAAAAGCCGATGGATGATTGTCCTTGAAGTTTGCATTTCAAGCATCTGAAAGTATGTTTTAGTTGTGCCAAAATGGGAATAAATAAAAAATATAAAAATAAATGGCTAGAAATGAAACTATATTGATAAAAACCAACCTTTCTTTCTAAAATATATATGACTGGAAATGAAAGAAAGACGTGATAGGGTTTGAAAAACGTCTTTGTTCAGAATACACATATTATTTATTTCAGAAAGACTCTTAGGTTCTTAGTCTACTACAGTTTTAGATTGCAGCACTCACTTCTGCGAGCTGACGTGGTACGAGAGCAGCCGGAAGTTTCCATCTGGAGGGATAAAGGAGAGGATGCGCTCTGCTTCCCAGCGTTTGAACCGCACACAGGGGTGGAAGCTTACGTCATCCAGCAGCCGAGGGTTCTGCGTACAAAACAGTCATCATTCATACATATATTTAACAATTTGCACACAAAAAAAAAATCTATGTGAAACAGAGACTTAATATGAGCTTAAAGTGTTGGTAAAACCCTTATGATACAAAAAGTACTGGGATTCTTGGATTGCATAAGGAACACATTTGGATCGCTGCTAAGTAAATGCTGTATTTGTAATAAAAGGAACTCAACATCTCCCTCTGGTGGAAGAAGAGGAGAACTACATGACATTACAGATCACAGCATTAACACGTTTCTACATTAGAGAAAGTTTCATATTTTAAAACATGAAATGCCAAAGGGAATAGACTCATTATCATGTTTAAGAGCTAAATCTATATGAAAATAACCAGGAGTTTGACCACACACACCATAAAGGAGAGAGTGAGGTCGGGCATGCCGGTCAGCTTCACGCAGGCGTCAACGACTCCCTGGATTTCAGCTGTGATGGTGGATCCTGAGAGACAAAAACACTGATAAGAATTACACAGATATATTGGAGAATTAAACACGGATTATTGTTTTTGTAACCAGATTTGTCAATGATGGCATCAATCTCCTCGACCACGTCAAAATACGCCTCGTTGTTGGTGTATTTGACCCCTGTCCGTCGCCATGGCACCACCGAGAGTTGACCAGTGGGGAGCTGCTCACCCACGTTTGTGCTTCCTTCAATAAAAAACATCAATTCATATCTCAGACGTCTCATTGTTGAAAATCCAGATAACTGTTATAAGATCATAATAAGACAGGTCCAGCTTACTTTTACAAAATGTCCATGCATTTATTTGAACATTTTCAAAAGCTCTTTTCTTTATTTTATAATATTTTTATTGTTTTTAATGTATTTAATGTATTTCTTCATACACATTAACAGGTTGAGCTAATCTGCTTCGGTTTTATTGCTTTTGTAGAAAAAGGTATTGTTTAAATGTGTGTTAAATGTAAAAATAAAGTGGATTGGAAATAGCAGAATGTGTAGGGCTTAACTAGTTATTCTTACTAGGGAAGCGACTTGAGGTGGAATAATCAGATACATCAGGTAATGGTCATAGAAATATGACTGAGAATTTTCTTGCGAAGAAAATGACATGCATCAAAGTTGGAGAGTTATTGCGTTGGAAGTCTGGGTCAAGGATCCAAACGGGTTGTGAATGAAGACTTAATAAACTTGGGGCACTTATGCTACCAGAAAGTTGCAGAACAGAAATCAGAAATCTTTTGTATAATTTAAAAATATTGACTTTGGGCTGAGAGCTAAATGGTAAAAGAGTGGTCCTTTCTTTTCCACTGTAGCTGTTTAAAATACAGTGTTGTGAGGAACTAGTTAGTAAGTAATCTATATTTATAAAGTGCATTTATACAGACCAAGGTCACCCAAAGCGCTTTACAATGTTCAATTTTCTCCACACGGTGTTGACAGAAACACTCTGGCGCATCAAGGACCCCAACCAACACCATCTGTTCACTCACTCATTACATTCATACTTATAGAGCATGTTCTTAGTGGTAGCGTAAACCAGAGCACCCGGAGGGAACCTACGCAGACTACATCCAGAAAGGCCCTGCTCCGACTGGGATTTGAACCCAGAGAATGCTATCCACTCAGCCACCGTGCCAGTTAAATGGATAGTCACAAGTTTGAGTCTTTGTACTATACCTGTGATGGTGTTGACCATGGTCCGCAGGATGGTGGGCGGCTTTATGAGTTCTTTGAGGATGTTGGACTCTGTGGCCAGTGGGAAGCCGTTGTCCAGCATTTCCTCCAGAAGTTCATAAACTACGACCACATTGTCTTTTATCGCTGCCTCTGTGCAGACTCCAAAATAGTCCTGACCAAAACAAGAAAAGGAGCCAAGAATGTTAAAATGTTAACCTCCTTAAAGACAACGGTCTGTTAAAGTTTTAAGAACAATTTAAGAACAAATATTAGGATTTAATAGAATAGAATCCGTGTGTACACTCCAACAACAATATATACAACATAATATAACCGCTAGTATAACTTTTATTTATAGTCTGAATAAAACTTTTGTGGCTTTTTGTGGCCGCTGTATTAGTTCAGAGTACTGCCGCCATCTTCCCGGAGCCTGCTTTGGACAGCTGCAGCAGCGCTCAAGTCATAAGTCATTAGTTCAGGTGATTAGAAAAGTGTATACAAATGTGTGCTAAGGGGTATTTCAGCCTTAAAACAAATAGCTGCTTATTTTTTAGTATGTAACCCCTGTGATAAACCAGGGACCACTGTATCCATATTTCTCTGGGGATGCCACTAAGTCGACTTGTTGATTCAGTACTGCATGTTGTTGTGCATCACAGTTGGTATGTATTGGTATTTTTGATGGTTAACAAATGCAACATGAACAAACTAAAAAGCTAGAAGCATCCAGCATCCCTCGCCACTGTTAGAGGCAATGCAGTTTGTTGTTTTACACTTTTTAAAATATGTACATTTTCAACGTGGAACTTAGTAGAAGCAATTACTAAATTGCTTAGATACATTTGTTTATGTATAATACAGTGAATAAAACAAAACTCTTCTATGTCTGGCTGTTTGAACATTTTTCAACTTAAACTGGGTCCTGCTCACGTCTCAACACTGAAACCTGTGAAATGTGGTGAAGTCGTGTGAAATCGTGAAATACCTGAAATGTGTCGACAACTCTGTGCAGAAACTCAATGACGAACAGCGGCGGGACCTCGCTCTGAATGACGGCCACAAAGTAAATGCGGTGTCGTAGCACAGAGATGAGGTAGTGATGCGGCGTGGGGATCACAGGAGGCACGTTCTCCGGCTCCGACGCTCTCTCCTGGGCCTCGAAGAAGTAATCACACACGGAGCGACTGACCACACTCTTCCAGTGCTTCTCCAGGAAAATGTCCCCCGAGGCATTTATGAGGAACAGGCTGTGAATCATGGTGGAGCTGGGCTGATGGTCACAATTAAAAAACAAATCAAAATGGTCAGTCAGTGGATGGATCAATGTGGATCTTCTTCCCCCTTAGATTTGCACAGAGCTCCTGTCTGGTATGAATGTGGAAATATGTGTCAATTATGATGGTGGTGATTTGATAACGTAACAACACAGATTGTCAGCCATAACTATACTGGCTGTTCCTTGTTGTCGGGCAAAATAATTATTTCCCATATTATAGCATATTTGTCGTTAATGTATATTGCAAATTTAAAGCTGGTATACTTAGCGTTGGTTTAGGGACGTTTTCCCAAAATATTAAAAAAAAATGCATCTGGAAAAAATAACTGACTGCATCTTTAAACATTTTTTGCAGACTAAAATTGGATACGTTGGGAATAATATACATTTATTTGAGATAATTTTTCCAAGATTTGTCTATGGTAGCTTTCCTTGTTATTGGGCAAAATAATTATATCCCAATTTTTAGCATATTTGTAGTTAATGCATATTGCAAATTTAAAGCTGGTATACTTAGCGTTCAAACAACAAAGAATATAACTATGTAATAAATCCTAGTAGCTCCTCGCTCTGTGTACTTTCATCACCAGTTTTCATAATTTCACTCAGCCAATCAGCTTAAACTGTCAAAGCGTGCCCATTGCATTTGTTCTTTCTTACAAGTATGCAATATAGTATGATGTTTTCTGATAAGAATCGATGAACGCAGCATGTAGAGCTCTGATTTTGTTTTAAAACCCCAATAAAATATGAATAAAATATGATATGAACGGATAGGAAAGTTAGGTACCGACTTTTTCAAACCAATCCGCCATTAATACATTGTTATAGTCCTTGAAAATAGTAATTTACAAATATTAATGTCTTGATATCATTGTACAGCATGAGCCATGTGAAGTGTTAGTGTATCTCATTGTCAATCAACCCTCCAACCCAAAGAAGTAGCTTCTTTGTAAAGACAAGAATGTAGGTCAGAGCTTCTCAAACCTTTTATATATCAAGTACCACTTAAAAAAGACAACACATCTGTATAGTATTTCTGAATGCATGTGCCACTATGGAAAGATAACATTTGGTGTTACATGAAACAAAGTTATACAACAATAGGAACCTTTGCTTTAAGTATAATATAACCATGAAAGCATTATATTAAGTACAATTAAGCAACAACACGAGCTGTCACACTTTAGTTAGCTGTGATAGGCGACACCCAGCGGAACACTCATTCAATATGCAACCTATCGAATTACCATTACTCGTTACAGGTGAATAGAAACAGGTATAATGGACAGGAAGAGGCATGCACATTGATAAAAACTGGGTATATTTGAAAATAGGATGAAGGCCTTTAGTGTGGATTGTATGGAAAACGATGCTGCATCATTGCCTCCACCTCCTTTAGTCCCATGACAAGAGCCCACTCAACATAAAATGATAAAAACGTCTCAAATCACTAGACTACGCACGACCTGGATTCATTGCACATCAATGTATATGTTTTTCACAAGTCAATGCACTTACCGAGGGCGGTTCTCTCCGTTTTGTCTCGTTTTTCACCTTTTTTCCACAATTAAAAGATTATCCGCCGTCGCTCTTCCCGTTAGCTGGTGTAGATGGTGACGCGAGACTGGAAGGACTGCGTCTCGACCAATCAGAAGCGAGTGTTTGCTTGTTGGCCCGCCCACTCTATTCAGGGATTGGTCCAAAACGCGGAAGTGGTTGTACTGGTCCCATTGGGCAGGAGATTGCTAGCTACCAGTAAACACCGTAAATGATTGGCTAGAAAATGTGATTCGTTGAGCATGTTTTTAATATTACGTTCAATTTTGTTATAACTCTTAATTAAAATTACCTAATACACAACTTGAATGTGATGCTTCGTATTTGTCTATATTTACCACACAAAAAACTGACGAAATTCAGGACGAAGCATAAACCAGCTTCTTCCAATCGAACTGCATTAGAGTAAAACAATCGTACGGGAGGATATTCAATTTTGTAGTATTTTCAAACGTTTTTTTTAAATCATATGCGTTCCACGAGCTCTCGGTGTTTTAATATAGTCTATGGTATTTTAATTACTGGTGACCCCTAGCGGACACAAAATGAATAACCACAACAGATAACTATCTGAAATGTACTGTCTTTTTTGTTCTTATGTAGATACTATACATTTTAAAACGGGGGGGTTGCCAGTGTCACATGGGTAGTCTGAACTGAACCAGCTAGATTTCACGATAAAAACAGGGAACTAAATGAGAGTGATTCTTTCCCAGGATGAGCCTGGGATATTTGAAAACGTGAGGTAATTAGGCCCATTGTGTAAAAAATAAATCAGCATTAAACATTTTGATTAGAAACAATAAAAAAATAGATATGCAATTTAGTTCCTTTCATTCATTTTGGAAGCTTATGCAATTAGTTTTTTTTCCGCTAGCAACTCAAAAAGAGTATCTAAAAGAAGAAGCTGTATCAAAACATAAATGGCTCAACATAATTTATTTTCATTTTGTTAAAATGTACAGAGTTCTTTGAAAGTACTTGCTAAGAAAGAAAAACAAATAGATGGAATACATACATGAACAGAGTAGAGTTGAGGCTGCCAAACACAGATCAACTTCCACTGTGTGCCCGGCTTATACCTCATTATTTTGCGCCCTCTCTTAGCATACAACGCAACATGTACAATTACAAAGGATACAAAAAGGGAAGCGATATAAACAGACAGAAATATACGGAGCTCATTTTTACATGCCTCATAACTGTAAGGAAGTCAGCCTATACACACACAAGTAAAAAAAATGCCAAGTGACCTTTAGATATTTGTAGTCCTTTTGTTTAAAATAGCATCAATATACTACACAAAGATAGAAAACTCTAGATGAGATGGAATGGAGAGGTTAAAGGCATCTGAAAGTCACTAATAGTGAGTCATATTTTTTTCATTTTGAATTTCTTAGTAATTATTACCCAAGAGTCGAGGTAAAAAATATGTATTTTTTTCCCCCGGAAAAATAAGTGAAAAAAAAAATGACAGTACCAATATCATGTCAGAATTTCCTTTTATATTATAGAAAAACATTTTCTCTACAATTGTTTTCTAAAGTCAAAAAGAGTCAGCTTGTGTCATAAAAGAAAGCTGCACAGTCTGATAAAATTCAGAAACAAACAAAAACAACATAACTTTACACACAACGTATGCAATGGTGAAAACAAAAACTTCCTCTCGACTTTGAATTATCGTCAACCTTGAAGTCCTCCTCTGACCCTGCTTCTCCCCAGTTCCGCTGAGGGCCGGTCCGCGCACTAGATCAGGCATTTAGACTTGGGACACCTACAGGAAGGATATCAGCCCGTTGCCATTTCTCTAGTCTATAGAAGTGCAGAATTTGCCTTATAGAAATAGAACACAAAAAATAAGAGTCCTCACTCTTTGGGCCAGTAACGCTCAAATGCATAACTGTAGAATGGTGGACAGCTAAAAGCCATCACATGAAAATTTGATCTGCATCCTCATAACTTATAAATGTCGACATTGTACACTGTCAGTGGAGTGTGATTTTCTGAACGAGCGCCTGATTGGTTCAGGCTAGTCAGAGTGCGTCTGTGCATGGCTGGATATTATATTGGGAAGTACCAGAATATTTACATCTAAATGTTGTGTTGACAAACTGGAAAATAATGCTACTTGTTTTACTCATGGATATATAACAAACAGTAACTCCTCCACGTTGTATGTTTTGGTTCAACACGGTCCATCTCGGAAGACTCACCTCATAAATGGAGGCGTGGCCTGTGAGATTTTATGAATAAAAGGCAAAAACGCCACCAGAGATGTCCAAGTATTTGTGAGAAAGAGCTATTTCAGAATGCAACATATATAAAGACCAAAGCATTTTAGAGGCTGGCTGGACTGCACACTAATATTTAAGATAAAAAAAATAGTCAACAGTTAAGTGAACAAAACATGTTTCTCTCCAATGTTTCATTGTCTTTTTTAAGATAAGGCTTCCTATATCAATTAAAAGATTGTGTGCATGGTTGGATATAGTCATACTTTTTCATAAGAAGTCTGACTAAGTAAGGTATTCCTGTTTTGTCTTTTCCTAGTTTCCACTTCATCTGTCCGGCCTGGCTCTTTCACAGAGCTGGATAAGGGAAGCACATGTGTACCCTTCCACAGACAGCTGTAGGTTTGGCCTGCTGAGGTCCATGTTCACACGCCTGCCCCTCCCTGCTGCCACAACTGGAGGCAGAGGGACCATCTTCCCAAAATAAAAAGGACATTAATGACAACATAGAACAGGAAACCCTTAGGACCATCTTAACCTCCTTTCCTCTCCTCTTTATGGTGCCTGCAATGGCAGTGCAGAGGGATCAGGAGTAACGACATTAGAGTACACAAGTAACCCGCTCTGACTCCGATTTTACCACTCCTTTGTTCATCTGCTCATGTACGGTGGCTGCTTTGGGACACCAGCATAACTGTGATGTGAAGGAGCAGTGTACATCATGTTGCTGTGGTGATTGGGCTGCATAGGCTGCTGTGGGTAACCCTGTCCTCCCATCATCCCCATCTGCATCTGCATGGGGTACTGCGCGGGCTGGTTCATGTAGGCAGGGTTTCCGTGATAGCTGCTGTTCATCATGGGCTGAGGCATTCTGTACCCTGCTGCTGTCATGGCGTTCAGAGGGGCCATGTTCATTGAGTTGTAAGTGCCGGGTGTGGGCATGAGGTTTGGCATCATGCCCCGCTGCACGGCCAAAGTCCTTGGTGTCCCCTGCATGGCCACGGCCCCGGAGCTGCGCCCGTACAGCTGCTGCTGGTGCGGGGCCGGGGCAAGCTGCTGGGTGGCTTTGGAGCGGATGGAAATATGGCCCTTAACAGTTGCCATTTGTCCTTGAAGCCGCTGTGTGTGCGGCGGGGGGCCCAAGCCAATGTTTGTGGTGGGCATGTTGCACTGCAGCTGAAGAGAGCCCAGGTTCATAGAGCCAGAGCTGAGGTTTGGAGGAGGTGTCATTGTGGGCTGGCCCTGGGGGAGAGGAGTGTGAGGCGAAGGAGCCATCCCAGGGTTGGACAGGGAGACACTGGTGGCATAGGAAGTGACTGACGCAGAGTGAGAGTACGGCATGCCATGAGGGTCCATGATCGTGTTTGTGAGCTGCTGAAGTTTGGCCAGGCTGAATGTAGCAGAGGGCTGGGGGTAGCCCCCAGTGCCAAAGTCCTGGCCCATGCGTTCATAGAGTGTTCTGGCCCCTCCTCCACCACCACTCTCTGGGATCTCCATGATCATGGGTGTAGCGGCAAAGCCATTTCCCATACTGCACTGGGACAGGGACTGCTGTTGCTGCGGAAGAGGTGGGGGGGCTGAGGGTGCGGATGTCTGCTGAGGAGGCTGCTGTGGGACCTTCTTTTGGGGCTGGGGTGGCTGCTGCTGCTGGTTGGTGCTTGGCGGTCTCTCTATAACTCCGCAGCTCTGAGGAGACTTAATTCCACACCCAGGGGTGTTGGATGGCGGAGGGGGTGGAGGAGGCTGTGGTACTGCAACATTGTTGGGGCTGGGACCATTGCTTGGGCCTTGACCCGTCTGTGCGATGTGGCTACAGCTGCCCATGGAGAGCTGCCCCCCTGTCCCACTGGAGGAGTTGAGACTGGGGGCTGGAGGAAAGGAGCAGCTGTTGTTCTGGGACGATGAGGGAGGTGCGCTACTGGAGGATGAAGGAGCAGAGGACGAGGCAGCGGAGGCTCCGGCCACAGCAGCAGAAATACCTCCATTCCCCCCAGTTCCTGTCCCGTTGCCCCCTCCACCCATCGTGGAGTCGTAGCTGCTGGGGTTATCATAGTTCTCAGTGGTGCTCTCGATGCTGCCCAGGTCACTGAAGCCACTGTCCACCACCTGCTGAGAGTGGTCTGGCACCGAGGGGACGTCCATCATGGGGGAGGTCTCCATATTCTGTTGGGAGGGTGCAGAGAGAGAGCTGGGGTGCTCTGGGGTGATTTGAGTGTACCCTCCACCAGTGCTGCTGTTATTGCTTCCTGCTCCATTTGGACCAGGGGTACCTCCTCTTTGCCCTGAGGGTGTTGTGTCCATCATGGAAGAGGACACTCCGGGACTGTTGACTGAGCGCACCGACTGACTGGGCAGAGGCGGCATAGTGGGGTTGGGCATAGGGCTACTGTGTTGTGATGTCCCACAATCCTCCACCAAACCCAGCGCCTCCTCCTCCCCCTCCCCTGTGTGGCTGTAACTTTGTAGTGTCCGACAGGCGGCTAGGGTCTCCTCGCAGTCCTGGTAAGCCCCGTGGTGAGGGTGGGGTTCAGCCTCTTCCTCCTGGGCCTCCCCTTGTGTCAGGGACTGGACCGCCTGAACGGTCTCCAGGTCTAGCTCATTGGAGTGGTGGTGGGGGTGGTGGTCTGGGGGGTTTGGGTGGGGGTGTTGAGGTTCCTCCATCAACAGCGTGACATTCTTGTCTTCATGCAGAGGCGGGAGGTCCATAGGCTCTGACGGAACAGACATGGCCGTAACAGTCTCCACAGCAGCAGCGGCTGCAGCAGACTCCTCCTGCTCTCTGCGCCTCCTCTCGTCTTGTTGGGGGTCGACCGATGACGGGCCGCTCTTGGGAGCTGGCTCTTCCTCAGCCTCCTCCTCCTCTTCCTCCTGTTTGCTGACGTATTCTTTGGCCACGCTGTTCTCCATGTCTAAAAAAGCCTCCCCCTGTGGTTCTTCTTTAACAGGAGGAGAACTGGCACGAGATACCGGCTCCTCTTCTTCCTCATCTTCCTCCTCCTCTTCATCAGATTCAGGGCCTTTTCGTTTCTTGTTGTTGCTTTTGTCGTCCACATGTCCGTCTCCTTCATCGTCAGCGTCGTGGTCATCACTGCGTCTGCTGCCGGATCCGGGGGTGACTGCTGCTCTTCGGCTCATGCTGGTGCACTCTTCCTCTTCCTCACGTTCTTCATCATCCTCATCTTCCTCACGGTCCCCCTCTGTGTCCTGAGATCTACACGGTGGAGCTCTGGGTCCCGGCGTGGATGAGGAGGAGGAGGGCGACAGAAGAGGGCGTGATGGGGGACGACTTGGTTTGTCTTCTTCCTGTTCATCATCCTCTTCATCATCTTCCTCTTCCTCAGGCTCAGAGGCAGGTGGAGGCTTTGGGGCAGGTTGGGGAGGCGGTCTGAAGGTTGGATTTTTGGGAGGCCGGCCTCTCCTCCTGGGGATTTTCTGTTCTACAGGTTTAGGGAGAAAATCGTCCTCTTCGTCAGAGTCTCTGTGTTTGCTGTCCCGACACAGCCGCTTGCCGCTGTGCTCGTCCAGAGAAGAATCTTTGTCCATTTGGTTCATGAGCCTGCGCCTCTCCTGGTCCTGCCTCTCCGCCTCCTCCTGAGCTCTTTGCAGGTACCAGCCTCTGGGCTTGCGCCCTGGCTTCATCTTGATTTTAGGAGGAGGAGGATCTCCACTCAAGTTTTCAGCAGCTGCTCGCTGATTGGGGCCGCTGCCTGGAGGTCGACCTGGCCCCCTTTTCTTCCAGTGCAGGGGTTTACGACTTTTTCCTTTGGGCCAGCCTTTCTTCTTTTTGACAGGCGCTTCAGGGTTGGCAGAGGGATCTGTGGGAGACGCAGAGAGAACTGAAACTGGCTTCAGGACTGGTGTAAGCTCTGAAAAATGGAAACAAGGACATGGGTCTTAGATAAACACTCTTCCGAAAGTAATCTGTTAAACATTGAAGTCTCATACCATCATCCTCAGAGTCTGTGAAGTGGGTGAGGCGGGGCCGTTTGGGTCCTGGGTCAGACAAGCGCAGAGCAGCGCGAGCTGGAGGGTATTGTCTCAGCGGATGTCCAAACGGTGTTTCCTCTTCTAGTCGGGGCATAGGTCTCTCAGAATCTGAATCTACAAAGGGCTCGTCGAGGACTTCTGTCGTCTCGGAGATGGTCTCGGTCACCACGCTGCTGTGGGGGTGGCTGCGCTGGCGAAAACGGCGTTTTCTTAGGGGCTTCTAGGAAAAATAAGACACCAATTAGACGTCACGTATTCATCACCTTCATGTCTTCACGTTTAATTATCCCGGTGAAATGGTTTATAAAACATGAGGTGTCCAGAGGCGCTGTCAGAATACACAGGTGTTAAATTGTCACTCACCTTGCACTTGAGCCCCATGGCTGGTTTGGTTAGCATGGGAGGAGAGTTTTCCCTCGTGTCATCATCTTCATCGTCATCTTCATCATCATCTTCGTCGTCTTCGTCGCTGCTCTCGCTAAAGCAGCTCTTCCTACCAGAAGGGGTGTCACTCAGCCTGGGGACTCCAGACAGCTGGCCTAAACTGTCCCCAGGCCCTTCACTTAGTCTGGGTTTTGGACCTCTCTTTTTTCTGGGGGGGCGGCCCCTCCGGGAGGGGGTTATGGAGTGACTGGTCATTCCCAGTTTGTGAAAAGGTACAGTTTCTGTTTGTCTGTCCAGAGCGAAGAGTGATGGAGGGCCAGTCTCAGACCCTAAGCTTTTGTCCTGCTCCGTCTCTTCTTCATCGTCATCATCATCATCTTCGTCATCATCGTCATCTTCATCATCTTCATCATCATCTACAGGGCGGATCTTAGGAGGGCGTCCCGGGTGAGCGTCTCTCCCTTTGCCCCAGGGCCAGCTCTTAGGGGGCCGTCCACGTGGTCGACGCTCTCCGTTGGTGGAAGGGACAGCGCGCTGTGAGTCAGAGGCGGGCGCGCTGCGGATCGGAGCAGAGTTTGGGGAACTTTGGCTGATGGGAAAACCTAGAAACCCCTTCCTTTCTTCTTCCTCGTCCTCTTCTTCATCCTCTTCTTCCTCATCCTCCCTTTTTTTGGCTTGACGCATGTGCCAAGAAATTGATGAAGCTTTAGGATTTGGCTTGATCTGTAAAAGTAAGGAATATTATTATCAACATAAACTGACAAAAGAATATTACTTTCCTATATGCAATTTCCCCACTGTGAGACTGATAAAGGTTTTCTAATCTTTACCTCTTTGCGCTTGGTTTTATCAGCTTCATCATCCTCATCGTCGTCGTCGTCCCCCTCTGCTTCAGAAACAACCGTGTTGGTCACGATCACTGGAGTCCACCGCAGACACTCGGGGTCCACCTCCAGTTGCCGCGGTCGAGCTTTGAGGCGTGCCATGTGGTCTGAAACCAGCTTCTCACGTCGCACCAGCACAGTTCTGCAAACGTAAATTTTGTATTTAAATGTAATTCTTATTCTCTTACTGCACTTGTGTTCTCTGTTGTTACGTATGAATACCTCCAGTTCATTACTATTAGATAGGGGTGGGAACCTAAGGGTACCTCACGATACGATACACAGCTCACGTAACGATATTATCACGATAACGATATCACGATAACGATTTTATTACGATGTGACGATTATCAATATATTGGTCAGAAATATACAACATTTGCCTATTTATGGCATAAATAAAAGAAAAAATACACTTTATTTCATGATAAATGGAATGGAGATGCGTATTGTAGCCATATATTAAGTATTGATATAAAAAATATTTTAAAAATTAAAAAATGGATAGATACTTGGCAAATGCATATTGATAATCAAATCGCGGGAGAAAGTATCGCGATATATCAAAAAATTGATATATCGTCACACCCCTACTATTAGATATAATAACTTTTTCCCCTCTTTAATTATTTACATTATTTTGAATGTTAAAGCTTGAGTACCCAACTTTGAAACCACAAAAGATAGAGATGTATTCAAATACATGTAACAAGATCCTAGCTCTCAAAATGTTGATTTCCATACTGATTCAACATGCTTTTGCTAGAATATTTTTTATAGAAGCATGACATCTTGCTGGGCCAGGGAGGTTAAATGACATGTCTGCCAACTAGTGGCAGGAAGTTTGAATGATTTCTGAATGACCCTGTTTGACACAATGAGCCGTTTTAAACAGTACAGCCCGTCGGGTTAAGTCAACCGTGGTGCCTATAGGTTCAAATAACATTTTGTGAACTAATGAGACCACAAGGAAAAATGTTAGGTAGCCCAGCTTTAACATTTAGTTGCTTACCGGTCTCCCCTCTGCTCCAGCATAGTGAGGCTGTGGAGGGTGGTGGTAATATCTTGGGGGCAGATTCCAGTTAGTTTGCTTAGTTGACGTATGGTGATTTGTCGATCGCGCAATTCATGTAGACACTCCAGCACAACGCTCTTCCAATAGGCCATATAAGACAACCGGCCAAGATCAGAAAGAGGCTTTTCTGGAGATCCTGGCTGCCCTTCTCGTTTTGACAACAAATAGCCTTAAAAAAAAGACAATATTTACCACAAAATCCATAGAAAACATTTTAACAAAACAATAGCACCAAAAACTTACTGAAATCGATGAGAAATCGGCCGTAGCCTTGGCGCTGGTATTGTGGAAGAATCATGATGCATGATACATTGTATTTTTGTTGACAGTGCTTTTCCTAGAGAGAAAAAAAGCACAACGTTTGCAAAGGATTGGATTCAAACAGAAACTCCCAACGAAGGAAATAAACACATCAGGTCAAAGACAATACTAGTATTAGTATTATGGAGCAGCTCATGGTTTGGAAAGTCAGTTTTCTAAGATTTTTTTAGGGAAGTTTGGCAAAAATGCAAATCCACCATTGGCGCGCATCATGCTGAAATAATACACAGCCTAATATTTTGTATATATTTATTATATGGCCAGTCATAATTCAAAACCTTCCCAGGACCTGGAAAGTGATTTTTAAATTTCCATTACATTCCAGGTTTTCCATGACTGTCTTCATAATAATAATGTCTTCATTATATAATTTTACAATTTCCTGGTGAAATACACACTTTACTTTGGTCTTAAAAAGGGGTCAAATGTAAAGCCACAATCTCTCAGATGCAATGACTGTTCTCTCAAATGTAAAGCTCTTAAGGTATTGTTTTGCTCCAGAAAGTTGATTTAAAGTATCTATGGCTATGCAGATTAAAACATGAAAACAAGTGCATATATTGAATGGAGGGAATGTGACTACCTTAGAAAAGTACCCAACAAGGTGACAACCCTTGCCGTCGTTTTGTGTGAGGACGTAAAAAAGGAAAGGTTCCACGTCGTAGTATAAGGTCTTATGGTCCAGGAACAGCTTGGCCAGCAGACACAAATTCTGACAGTAGATTGTGCTCACGTTTCCATCAACCTGTTGAGAGCGGAGGCAGTCAGATTAGAAGATGCACTTGACAAGAGCAAAGCAGACTGGTGTAAAAGAAAGTGTTGGGCAACGATCCCGACAGTAAGCAGTGTCTCCAGAGAGCGGGGCTGTTGGAAAGAGGTGGAGTAGAGAGGAAATAGGAGGGAGGTTTCACTCTGGCAGCTCGCCACATCTCTGAGTCAAAGATGGACCACAGAGCCTAGAAACAAGAGCTGCAGCGACTATGCCCCGAGCAAGACAATAAATTATCCCACACTTAACAGCTTTACACTAAGTTTGAGCTTGCAATAGGAAAAAATTTAGGGCGAATGATGATTTGTTAAATTAGATCAGTTTATAAACCAGAGCACTGCACAATCAAATAGGAGGTTCTGAGGGGTTTGAGTTGTTGGATACTTTACACACAGGAGGGATGTGACAACAACTTATTCTTGTATAGCCCTAAATCACAACAGCATCATCTCAACAAAACCATTGAAATCATCAACACAGATCAGGGAATCAACAGATAAAACACAAAAAATACACATATGAGTTGGTCCATAGGAGAGACCAATGTCCATGAATGTTGAAAAATGTCCACACATGTTGTAGAATGTTAAAGTGTCCTGGATCATCACCACAGTCCTTCTAGTTGGACACTAACTGCCCAACAGACCCTCCTGCATCGGCAAGGAAAAACTCCAAAAAAGTGAAATGAATGAAAAAACAATGACAGCTTCAAAACTATATTGTATTGATAGTACAAATAAAATAAAAAATAAAAAACGAAAAGTGTATTTTTTTTGAGCTATTGTAGAATGATTTTGATCTATATCAGAAATGTCTGTTGAACGGGTGTGGAAGGGTTAGAAGTTTATTAGCTTCATGCGACACCTAATAATGCGAGATGATTCAAAACAACAAAAATAGTTGCAGAGTAGAACATTGTTTTATCTATCTTACCCGTTACTAAACATTAATACAGCTGCAGCTAATGATTATTCAATAGTTTGAATTAATATGATAAAACACCATGAAAATGTATATAAATGTATTTATTTATAATTTGTTATTTGGAACCGCTGAATATTCTCATTTGTCTTAAATATGTAAGCAAATGAATGTGAAATGGGGAATAAAACAATGCTTTAAAATATGCAGAAATAATAATTTTTATCCCATGATACACTCAGCTCAGTGTAGCAGGCTCTATGGAGCTTTATAAAGCAGGGTCAGGGCTTTTTGTAATGTATGAGGAGATGAAAACACATGTGTATTGAGACCGGCGCACACAGTTTCAATGTTCACGAACAATTCTTGCTCCAACTGTAAATGAAGTGGCTGAGTAAAGGAAAACTGCGCAATACGTTTGGCTCCTGTGCAATGAGCTTTGAGGTCTGACCCTACACATCTGCACCTGTGGAGCCTTCAACACGTTACACACCACTCCTGGTCAGACGCCTCTCTCTTTCACTCTCTATGGTCTGTAATGTATGCCTACTACAGCACTGTTACAGGCCAGATGTTGTTAACACATGCAAACCAGTCAGATCAGCAGCAATAATGAAGACTAGGCCCTAAAGGCTGCAACAATCAATTATAATAATATATAATAAATTTTTTATTATATGACTTTAATCGTTCGCGTTCTGATTGGTTGATTTGCGGTTGGATATTTTCCCATCTCGGACCGTTACAATGACAATTGGTCCGCAGCGCGTATCAAATTTGATATCTTTCCTCAGTAAAGAAAGAATGAGCGACGACTTCGAAGAGCCAGAGAAAGTAAACAGCAAATAACAACGAAAACAACTCCTAACAGTCAAGAAGAGATTGACAACTTCGTTACAGACCAGAAAGGTAAAAACACGGTTAGGAAAACTAAGGAGATTGATATTTGCATAAATTAAAAATATTCACATAATAAAACATTTATTAACCTCGCTTGCTCGGTCTGTACAGACAAATATCAGACCATGGTCTTTTTACACAGACCTCGCCACGGCTCGTTCTGTACAGAAAGACCACGGTCTGATATTTCTCTGTACAGAGATGTACAATGTCGTTGCAGCCTTGCACAGAAACCATCAACATCCAAGGGAAAGTATGTACAATACACGTAAACATCTGTTGCTTGGCCAACCACTCTACCACAAGGCCAATATATCATGATCAGTTAGTGACTACTCTTACCTCAAATACAGACACATCGTCCTTCCGGTAGATCTCGTTGGCAGGAGGGTGAAACCACTGGCACTTCTTCATGTGCTGGTAAAGGATGCTTCGACTCTTCATATAACGGAGGCAAAACTCGCACAGATAAAGCTTTGGAAGTCTAAACAGGAAGAGAGAAAGGTCAACTTGGTTTTCCTGAATTTGTATTAAGTATGCTGAAATTTGGCCAGGTGTAAATTTTGTTTTTTGCCTTAGCGTTATGATATACAATAGAACCAATATGCATTATTCATGTTCATTTTGACCATTAAATATGTTGATGAAGGCACACAGTTGCCAGGTGAAAGTCAAAATTGATTGAGAGGTAATACTTTTGTTTTAAAAAACAGCAATTTTCAAAAGTATTTGACATAGAGTGCCAAGTTTGAGATTAGAGCCATAAGACAAAAGGACAGGGGGGACGTGTAGCATACATTTAAACCAGAAAACGAGTTTCATCCGATTACCTGCTGTATTCCTGTGGATACGGAGATGAATACCACGTTTGGATTTCAAACTTTCCGAACTCAATGACCGAGGGACATCGCATCTGGGGGTCAGGGGGTCCAGTCACTCCCACTTTCTGTTTTTGCGGAGAAAAAAATTTAATCTAAATTTAGCACTTAACAAATGAGGCCACAAGGAAGACATGTTATAGTACACTTTACGTCTGCCATTTTAAATACACTAACAGCACTCTGATAATCTAATCTCCCTTTTTAGTGGCCATTAAATCTTTCTACTTTGCAAAAATCAATGTAAGCCAAGTGCTTCAGTACAACTTCCACAAATCTGACACAAAGACAACATTGCACAATATGGAAAACCATGTCGAAGCAAAACTAGCATATAATACCATTATATCTAGATTTTATTGTATAGTAAGATTTTATTTTGAATAGGCCACACACACACACCAATTTCAATGGCATCTCATACCCAATAAAGGAGTGGGTGGAATAAAACTTATTATTCTCACTTAATCTTCAACATTTCTCCAATCTTCATGGATAATAAACTCAAAATGTACTATTCAGGCTCTTTTACAAAGATAAAGATGAATAGATTTATGTGCAGAGTGACATAAGCTGTAAACCAGAGGAGTCTCAATGCACCTGTAACGCCAGCTCCTGGATGTGTCGGAATAACTCAATGTCTTTTTCTGTCAGATTTTCGTGACCGGGCAGTTTATCATCCTCGTCACGCCAGTCGCTGCCATCCTGATTGTCTGAGGGAGGAAAAAAACAGCCACCATTAGTGAAAGACTTGTGAGAGCCTCTCGAGACAGGGAGCCAAGATGTCTGACCATTGATTTTCTTCCCTTTTTTTTTACATTGATGTTACAACCACAGTGGCAGACAGACACAAGCGCTGCCACAGAAAACACGATGTTTCCTTTACAGGGTTAATGAGAGCTTATCAGACTGTAACAGAGTACAATCTCTGGACTGGCTTCTTAAGCACCATACAGTCCCAAACAAAAGTTTAGGACCACTTGAAAAACGGCAAAAGATACATTTTTACATGATTGCATCATAACTAGCTTCCAAGTAGAGCTTCAACAGACAGCAAGAACAAATTGGAGCAAGACAAAAACCTCTCAAGCAAGTAATTGAAAAGAACAAACTGGTGATCAGAATAACTAAACCTCCTAAAAAACCTGCAAACCCCACACAACACTAATCAAATTGCAAAATATGAACTCTGTGATCAGAAGTCCCACTGGTATTGTTGAAAGCCTTAAAGTGTTTGTCTTGATGTGACTGTTTGAGATCAGGACAAAAATAAATAAAACAAATCTTCACTTAAGGCCCAACAAACCTAGGTTTAATTTTTTAAAAGCTAATTGCAAGTTCTGGGAGCTATAACTAACATGAATATTGAGTATGGACCGGGACAGACACAAGCCACCTCAATGAAACAAGCTAAAACCAGAGACTTCAAAGTCCAAGAAAAGACCCATGTACCAGAAGTGGTACCTGTACCACAGTTTGGAAAGCACATATTTCTTTAGCAGATAAAGCTACCAAGGAAGCAGGTGATAGACATTTGGGTATAAAATCCAATAGGCGGAAGTTTTTAGATCCATTAATAGCTGTCCAGTAAAAGACTGAGCTAATAGTCTTGCCAATATCACTGCTGTTACAGTGTGAACAATTACATGTGTCCTGTACAAACACAGCACTTTTAAATGCATGAGCTAACGTTTTCTCAAGCTTAAAAACATAATAAATCAATGCGAGCCATTTCAGCGCTGCCCTGCAATTTCCAGATACTGTACAAGACCAAATATACCATTAGTAATAACACACAGTTTATAGATCAAGATGGCAGAGCTGAGCGGGTAGAGCTGTGTAATTAGGTTTGGTGAAGGAATTGCATGAATAAACTGCAGCATATGTTAGTTAGAATGCTTCAAGCCAATTAGTTTGTAAAGAAGCTCTTGGGGTTAGTGCTGTGTGACTGCATTACTGCCTTTAGCTGCGTAGAGCTATTGCAAACAGCAGAAAGCACCCCTTTCCCCTTACCCGCCCTGTCATCTCCATCTGCATCTCCCGTGCGGCTGGTTTTCTTACGGATGCGGCACTGCTGGGAGTAGTCCACCACTTCCTGCCGCGCCTTACGGCCCTCTGGTGACGGTGTGAAAAACTTTGTGAGCGCGTCGATCAAACCCTTGGTCTTGTTGTTGAAACGGAGACCACTTTGGTTCATGTCGTCATCGTCTCGCATCGAGAAGAGCAACCGGTCGTCGCCAGGGTAACCGTCACAGGACGAACTGGACGAAGAATTTGCAGATGCCGAGCGCCTCCTCCGACCGCGGCCACCGAGCTTCTTGAACGGCCTGCCTGGTCTGTGGAGAAGACAGAGGAAATGAGTGAAATAACCAAGATTATCTAAAGATACCACCAAGGTTTAGTGCCAAGACACGGCTATTATCCAGATGTAACTAGCAAAAAATAAACACTTTCTCTCAGATGTCTATATAATATCATAATCTCTGTAAAAAAAAAGATATTTTTTTTTACAAAACCTCAAAGACAGAGGACGCCATGAGTGTATGTTTACCGGTTCTTGGGCCGCCCCAGGGGTCCACTGTAGCGTTTGATTTGTGCTGCCTTGTCATGTAAAAGCTTTCCCTTTTTCCTTGGCTGACATATTTGACAAATCCACATGCCTGGAAAGAAACGCACAGGTTTTCAGAGTGAGGATAATTAGACATGATGCGCACAACATAGGTATCGGCTTATGAAACAATGAGTGAATATTAGTGTCAATCAAATAGTGTGTTTACCCTTTGGCATCCGCTGGAGTGGAGGGTCACAGCACTCCATGTGAAAGCCCCGGTCACAGGAGTCACAAAACAGCATGTTGTCCTGCAAACAACACAGCAGCATTCACATAAGCTCATTTATGATCATAATTAACAGATCATTGTGTTACTTATGCTTCTGTGATTGGTTCATACTTAATCAGTATTTGTACTTCTTAAAAACAGAGACAGAAATGGGCTGGACTAAAATAGTTGGCTTCCAGGGCAAGAGATATATCTGTCAGAGTCTCTATCCGGTCCTTAAGCACACACAAACCTACACCTACACACACCTACACCCCCCCCTCCCCCTTCATTACACAAACTGCTGCCAGTCCACCATATTCACTCATCTACTCACCGCATTCTTCCCTTGATCCTGACAGCTGCTGCAAGTCTTGCATTCAATGCACTGCCACCACAGCGCCTTGACTCGTGCTGTGAGCTCTGGGGAAAACTTGAGACAGGACGGGTGGCCTGCAGGTAGAACACATGCATATTTAAGTGCATCAACATCACATCTTATTTTTCTGTCATTGTCTGACTGACAGCCATGACCCACTTGCATCACTACAGAGAGAAGGAAAAATGTTCTTTTAGAAGAGAGAGATGTCCTGCGGGATCCAACCTGGCTGCAAACAGTGTTCAAACATAAATTACAATCTACAAGAGATGTGCTTTTCCATGCTTTGCAGAGACAGCTTTATGTCGAGTGAAAAAATGAACAAAGTGTGAACAAACGTGTGAGCCTTTTCTTTAAAACAATTATTTTTATTTACAAAAGATTAACTTGACTTGTGACTAAGCAACAATGCATTTCCATTTCATTATAGACAAACAGACACATTTGAGTAATTAAGCTATGTTAATACAGCTCCTTTCACAACCACAAGAACTGCTTCTCATGTATTTACACTCAGTGGCATAACATGGGAGGAGAGACAACAGGATAACTAAACACACAGGTAAACCAATTGAGGTGTCGCAGGTTCCTCAACCCATTTTGCCAAAGGTGGTTTATATCTTGTCCAATTTTTTCAACATGTAAACAACATAAACCGAACTTTGCTGAGACTAGGCGATCAGTTGCATTTAAGTGCACAGGGAAAAGTCACACTAATTTCTCATTTAGACTGAGTAGCCAAATTGCATTCATTCATTGGGATGATGTATGCAATTCCTCGCTACGGAGGTTCATTATCATGATCTTGCAATTTGTAGTAAAAGCAAGAAACATGTATGTATTTGAGCTCCCAGTTAAATACAGCAGTTGAGACAGCCAGAAAATCAGAACTTATTTGCCAAAGTTTACTTCTACAATATACAAAAGGGCCCTTGTATTTAAAGTGACAAAATGTGAGCAAAAAGGGAAAGTTAAAATAAGTCTTTCAAGACTCACAAAGCTCACTACAACATAGGATTTGACTGATTGCATGTATAGTGGGACCAGAGCAGTCCGACTGGTTAAGTAGCTGTGAATGTACACCATATTATCTCCCCATGTAAACGCACTAACCAATCAGAGTGTATCACTCACCACTGTTGCCACAGTCAGCACAGGAGATGAGTTCCTCTGGCTTCTTGTCGCGGTTCTGCTCCTTGGTGCCCAAACAGAAGCTGCAGATGGGGATGGGTTCAGCCACCGGCTGGAGAATGAGAAAGAGGACGTGGTAAATGGTAAAAAAAATGGAACAAACAAACAGTAGCGATATGAAGATTTGTCAATGTAACAGACATAAAAATGTCTTATTTTACCAGAAATAGGACAGCAACTTATCGGCAGCACTTGTAGTATAGTAATAAGTGTTTAAGAGAAAAAGGAGCTCCAGGGATCAGTTAACTTGTATCTCTAGAGTTAAGTGTCATTAGCTGCTAAGTGTGCTGCTAAGCGACACTCTGATCCAAAGCTTTTAACCTGCTGTTGAGTCGATTAGACAAGATCTTAATTGACAAGCATATAAACTCTTTTCTAATCTCTATTATTATACCACTGTGATCACACATCAAAGCCAAGGAGTTTTATCTGACTAAAATACACCTTAGTAATGCCTGACAATCATTAAAAACAAGGTGCTGATCCATAAAAAAGAAAACCTGCTTGTAACAGCCAACAACCACTGGTACTGACTGACAACACAACAACACATTCGAATCTAACGCTGTGTTTATTTGTGGATTCAAACAGGTGGAAAGTATTCATAAGACACGGCACACACAATGGGGGCCCTGCTATTGTCTGGGGAGCAGGTGTAGTTTGGGGAAAGGATGCAGTGCATACAATGTGTCACAAGAGTATTGAATATTTGAGCTTTTATGAAACAGCAAGGGGACCGCCACTGCCAAACAAGACATGGGGTTTGTTTGCTTTTGCTCCAGCGCCTGTTGACAAGTGGAGAAGGGGTATAGTAGCACAGCACGCTAAGTTTACCAAGATACACATACAAACATAACAATCCAACCGTGGAGAATATTTGCCTTCTTCCACAAGTGCCAATTTACATGTGCAACATGTGATAGAAAAACGTTATTTATTGAAATGTAAGTAACTTATGCTTCCCTATCTTCATTTCAATTAATAGATGACAAAAACAATTGTCTTCAGGATATGCTTGTTCTTATCAAGTTGCTGTTCTAATTAAGTGTAATAAAGTGAATCACTTCTCTCCAATGTACCTGAGCCAAATGACCGTAATTACTATTTTGGCCATCATTATATTATCCATCTATGAAATGTTAGTTTGCAGCAATTAACCGCCAATTGTTGATTGTCCAATCAGGGTAAAAGTTACATGATCAGCAAATTGGACCATACAGATGTTTGTGACCTGGTATTTGTATGAGGTTTATAGATAAAAATGTTAATAGTAAATAGACACAGGTCCAGGACAGGCCCAAATTAACAAATGAAATAAACAGGGCTCATCACCGGCCCACAGCGATTGAGAAGGCTTTTATCTTGTATTTTCATTTAATAACATATTTCATACACGTGTTTGCATCACAAAGTCCACCATTTATATAGATCAGAGAAACGTTCTTGCAATGAATCGCAAAATCAAATTTTAAGACATTAACATTCAAAAATCCTCCACCAGAAAGTGTGTTTTCCTCCCAAGGTCATTACATGCTCTCCAGTGCTCCACAGAGACTAGCTCCTGATTTATTTAGATGCATGAAAACAACAAGCCGACGACAGACGCTGGGGCTGGTGTCAGTGCTAGCGCGCGGAGCTGCTGTGGAGCCGACTCTGCTGCGGTCCTGGCAGCGAAGGAGACAGCCACACGCCTTTGATTTATTGGGTTCATTTCCTCGTGACTCAGGCTGAGCACAATCCACTGCCTCCTCTCATAACCCCCAACAAGCACCAGGACTCTACAGCGAGGAGCGATTCAGCAGAGGCAGCAGTAGGGGGTTGTACTTGGTCACATTACACACACAATAATAATAAAATAAGTATGAGAATAACAATAACAAAGGTATGATTTGATCTGAAATCATTTGGACAGTCATAATAAATACTGACTCATATTTAATGTTTTGTTCATAGATGATCCCACAAGGGGAAAATTCAGTTGACCATCAGTGGCAGATGAAAACACAAAATACATTTACATTAAACCACAAATGGTTATATCTAAAACATATAATCCAGTGTATTCATAATTTGTTGCTTTTGTGATTTGTGTATTGCATTGTATTGTATGTCTTTTAATGACATAGTCCAATGAAAACTTTGAGATGCTTTGCTTGAGGCTTATTGTGTAAATTGTAAGTAGTTTTAATGTTATCAATAATACTGTATCATTTAGGCCAAAATGGGAAAGGTGTGGAAGAAGGGTTGAGCTGTGATAGTGAGGACATGGTGTCTGAGTGTGTTGCTGGTTCGATCCAGTGCCAGCCTGGGTGAGTTTCCTCCAGGCGCTAAAGTTTCCCCCACCACTCAAAACATGCAATAGATAAAATCCTTCGTGCATCAACATCTGGAGATGGGTCCCCGGTAGATGCACTGCTCCTGACAAAGGCCTTTATGATATTGAAGAATGGGTCAAATGCAGGGGACTAATTCTTCTAGTTGCTCAATAAAGTAGAACTTGGTTGTATATAATGACACCATCTGTTCAATTTACACAAGGGAGAAAATTGTAGTGAGTCTCATGAACTGATAAATAGGAATTGAAGTTAATATTAGGGCTGTGATTCAAGGCTATTATGATAATCGATTATTTGGATACTTTTTTTTTTTTCAAAACAAAGCTCAGGTGATGCCCCTTGAGAACAGCTTCATTAAGGTTTAAAAAGGATAAATCGATTATTACAGCCGATAAACTTGTTGCAGCCAGTGCGTATACATAGTGTATACAGGGCTGCATAGAAATATCCTCATGAGCAAAATAATTTATGATAAAGATTTTGAGAATTGAATACCTTGTGGTTAAAAACATTTTCTTGCAATGTTGATTCTTGCATTGGTTATTGGGAATGCTATTTCGGCATTGTGACTTTAAGTGGCCATATGAAGCAGGCCAAGCACCAGTCAATAGTGACTGTGCTAGAAAAGATGAATAGCCTTTTCTAAAGGAGACAGAACAAGGACGAAGAGCAGAGGGCGAGCAGAGGAGCCAACTGTTAAATGAGAGAAAGAAAAGTGTGCAGCGGCCCAAGAGCTCAGAGCTGCGTGCGACCAACACCTCAATCATTCCTGTCTCTTAACTCTGCGAGTGCCGGTCAACTACTGCAGCCGCGCCTGAGTAAACACTGTTATAGAGCTGTATGTTAGAGAGTGGCTTCGGTTACTGCTGCCACTGGAAATTAATCCCCAGCAGATACTAAAAATGAAATGCTAATCCTTCATGACAGCAATACTGAAGGAGAGAAAAAAAGAAATGTATTTCTCATACGCCTCCTGAGAGTTATTCTCCAGGTTCCAGACTTTTGGAGCTAGCATCGGCTCCTGCGTGGGCTGCTGTCACTATGTGAACATTTCCTCAGCAGGAAAGTACTGGTGATCACCGCGGTGTCAACTAAAAATTACTTTAGTACTTCAGGCTTTTGTATTTGCCAATTAGTCAAAGATGATCTCAAATTTGTATTAAATTATACAGTTCCTATGGGAAAGATTTGGAGGCAGTGAATTCTTTGAGCATATTCAGAGTATCTTCAGAGTATTTATCTCCTACCTGTGCTAAAACTATTAGTTACCTTAGTTACGTTTCCTTTTGCCATTTTATGTCATTGATTCTAATCACTGGGTGGAGACATGGATTACACACCATCTCAAACGTTTGAGAAGTACCTTCTGAGAGGACTACCATCTTTAAATGACCACAGACTATCCATAATTTGATTACATTTTAACCAAAAGGTTTGGAATATACTTTGATAGTAGATAAAAGCCTGCAAACCAATCAGACTCCTTTTGTCACAAAATGTACGGGCTGTACCGGTGTATGTTTTACTTAAAAACATTGTTGCACAATTGTGTGTTCTTCAAGCATTTTCCTATTTTAAGTCTGTTGTTAGGAACCAGGAACAATGTGGCTCAGTGCCAAATGGGACACACCTCATTGTCACTGTTTGCAACTGGCTGCAGTTTTCCTGCAGTGACTGGGAGGACTTTAATTACCTCAAGTACTTGAACCAGATATAATCATTACATACATCTTCACCATATACATTAACATTTTGCATGTTATAAACCAGAACCTTGATATTGAGCACAGAAATAGGTATATTGACTTCCTGCTTAAAACTATAAAACTGATTCTCAGTTTCAAGCAAGAAGCATCGTGGGACGAGGAATGGATTTTCATTCAGGACGTGTCAACTAATTTAGTACTTTGATCATAAGTCCTTTACAAACAGCACACATGGAGAACCTCTGAGTGCTGTCTCTGCTGTCATGTATGTACAGCATACAGAAAACCCAAAGTCTAAAGAATTTCTGAAATGTTATAGTATGTTATATTTAGAATATATATGAATTTAGTATATAGAATGCCATGTTTAGAATGTGCATCTCCATCTTTCCCCACAACAATCTGTTCATAGTACAACCTGACTGGGAGAACATTAGATGGCTCATGGAGCATCCATCCATCCATCCATTTTCTTCCCCTTAATCCATTTCTGGGTCGGGGGGGTGGCCAGAGATGCCACCCAGTTCACAGAGCACCAGCCCCTCACTGATCCTCCTGCAGGTGGTGAGTCCACAGGAGCTGAGATCTTTCAGTGGGAGCTTCAGGCAAAGTGGGGTTAAGTGTCTTGCCCAAGGACACAACGACAGCAGTCATCAGTGCGAGTTGTGAAGTAGGTCTTATGGTGGGCTTGAACCCACGACCTTCAAGCTCAAAGGCCAATGCTCTACCAACTGAGCTACTGTCGCCCCCAATATGCTCATGGAGCATATTGAATTATTTGATGACAAAAAAGCTTCGAGTACAATTTCATTGCCTTGATTCACTGAATTTAGTTAACCATGTTATTTCTGACTTTTGCACGACACACGCACTGCACTGCAGGCATGAAAACATAAGTATAAAGATCGCAGTGAGAGGGCTAAACATTTAAAAAGACTTAAGGGAGGAATGGCTATCACAAGCTCTGCACATTATTAAGAGGTACAACAAAAGTGGCCTTGCCTATTTAT